AATCGATAAAATCGATAAGGCAAGAATAAGCTACAGTCACCAAATTGATTGGTATGTTGTTGGCAATGTCCTTCAAAGATCAGCATATGTCACGCCCACCTCCAGCACCCCCAGGTCCCATGCCTTCAAAAGTCGGAAATGGCTATATCTTCCGCAATGTTTGAGTTAGAGCCATTAAATTTGGTGAGTATAATACTGGTAACCTTTAAATTATCGATGAACAAATTTTATTGCCAAAAAAAAGTAAAAATCAATTAGACCGCATATCTCGCACAAGTTTAAAGATATAGTCATCAAAGATCAGCGGAACAATTTTTGATGTCCGCCCACTCTCGCCCCTAAAATGTCCAAAAGCGTATATCTAGCAATTTAAAAGCTAAAACTACCAAACGTTCTAGGTAGATTACTAGTGTAATCTCAGTGTGAGGGGAGCATATAAAATTGGTTTCAATAGCCACCTGTACTTAGAACTAATTATATGCAACTGCAACCGTTTATATGGTTAATTAAAATATCAAGTGCCTGTTAAACAACAGATCTTGTAATCCCCTTGTTGTAAATTTAACCTTACTTCAATTGCTTCGCAAAAGCTAATCATTAAAAATATATATCCCAAATATTGTAACGCGCTAAATTCTGCTAAGACAGTGTAACCATTAGATCAAATAATATATAAATGTAAATACATATAGAATATTAGACAGATAAAATAATATATTGTTACTAAGTTCAACTTTGATCCCGACATATTTCATTGCAATGATGCAAATTTTGATTAAGTTATGGAAAATTTGTATACTTATGTAAATGAACTTACCAAAGTTTTGTGTTCTGAAGTACTTCAATTAAAGACTGCAATTGTTGGCGAAAATTATCACTGACTGTTGATTTTGATTTACCGGTCCCACGCTGAGTTGTTGATATATTTTGTATTAAATTCGAACAGGATGAATCCTAAGTAAATTAAATATCCCATTAGATGATGCAAATTGAAATTTGACACACAGTCGAGAAACCGACTCTTATCTAGGTATTATTTTCGCATTTCAGAAATAAATAAGACAATATTTCTATGTTTCAATTTATTTACAGATGATTCGCTTATTGAGAAAATATCGTTTGATATAGTTTGATTTTAAAGTGTACTTGAATCATTTCAAGTTAAAAATATGAATTTAAATATGCAGGAAAGATTTCTTAATTACTTAAGGGCTTTTGTTTTTCCCTAAACCTGTATATTCGAAAGCCGAATTGATTAAACAATGTCTGTCTATCCATCCTTACGAAGCCGAGCTAGGGCACCACCATTGGGCTTGCTAGCAGGCGACTTCCTGTATAACTGCACAAGGAAGTCCACGAGGTCTTGCATTCAACTGCTCCATGATAACTATTACAATTAATTAAATTGTTTCTCGTCTTAAAGTGACTGCGCGCATTTTTTCACATACTCTAATTATTTGCAATGAAGTCACAATGTTTTTTATGGCTGTCATATAAGTTCACTTTTTCTTCACGGTTAATACAATTCAATTTACTATTTCCACTTGCAGCGTTCACCGCCCCACATAGTTTTGGCTTGGTTTGCCGATAACCTTCGCCAAAGTATATAAATTATACTATTGATATCATCTAACAGCTGTTTACAAAATCCACACAGGTTGGCTGTGCGTTTAGAGTATGTATTTCAGTTTTGCCGTCTAAAAACAAAAACAAAATGAAATACTTCGCTAGCTGTCTTACATCATTTATTTTTATAATCGATAACTTTTTTAAAAGGAGGTTTTTAGAAGTAATCTACCTTCTAAGTTTAGTTACTTTAAATCTAAGATTCCGGAAGATGTAGACTTTTTCGATATTCGATTAAAAGCCGCTGCCTTTAAAATTGTGACTTTCATTTGTACCGAAAACAATAAGTTATTGACAAAATAAATAAACTATATCTGAGCGTCCTATACGAATAATTATATATATACCAAGTTTCTAGGTTTTATAGTCTCTCAGATCCGTGTGTTCATACAGACAAACCTAGCTATATCGACTCGGCTGTTGATCCTTATTAAGAATATATATACTTTATGAGATCGATGCTTCGTTCTGCCTATTACATAAATTTGCACAAAACTATTATACCCTTATTACACATTACTAATGGGTTCAGAGTAAAAAAACAATTGTGACTTTACTGCATAGCCGAATGCTTGTTTCAATTTTGGAATAAGGCCCGTTCATGTTACTACTAGTCATTGACTTCAACTTACACAACAAATCCACCGAAAATATATTAAAAATCATTACTTACATGGTTTTTAGAAAGATCGCGAAGAAATGCATGTTCACTGCGACTCATAAAATCAAAGAATACATCTTGTTGCATATCTCGATTTTTATCAACAAATCCGTCTACTGAATAAATAACATTTCCCGCGTAGTGCTTTATACCAAATTCTGTTTCCCAGTGCCGTCGATCCAATCCTTTTACATACATCGGATTGTATTCGAATTCTGCATGCAAGTTATTCAAATAAGCTGAATCCGAGCCTTTGGGCATATGACATTGTTCAGTCAGAAGTTTAAAAATACATCTAGGAGGCTTTTCGATTAGTTCCAAACATAACGAATTATCTGTAAACTCTACGTGAGTATAATCAATCTCTTCTTGTTTGTACTGTATATAGAGATAAATAAAATATTTGTTGTTTATGTAGGTATAATTACATGTAAGTATTAATATGGAACTAAAATAAAATAAAACAACGATGCTGAAATTGTCCAATAATTTCCTTTTAAGGCGTAATTGGTCACGAAAAATCGCCATAGAATTTAAATATAATCTCGATGAGGTCGCAATGAAATCGCATTAGAATGTCTCGAGCCATCTTCTACGGAAGACAGACTATTCAACTTCGTTATTGACGACAAGTTGTGAGCAAGCAATAATTTCAGATAAGAACATCTGAATAATAAAAAAACTTGATAATCTCATAATAAATAACTAAAATACCTATTAATGATCAATTTTGAATTCCAATCATGGATGAAATATTAGCTAAGCTAGCAACATTATCCTATATTCAAACAAGTCAAATTATTTGGGACAGGTAGTTTTCTAAAGGTTGGTGGAGTCAATCGTCCTCCCACACAATCATCCTTATTGTGTAAGTTACTTAAAATACTCAAAATATATTCAATATTATTATAATACATTAATATATTATTCTGCACTTCAAAATACCCGAAACAATATTGTAAATATGCAATACACATATGAAAAACCCGAGCTTGAAAGAAGGGAGAAGGAGCAGAGATTTATTAGGAGTCTATGCGTTGACAGTCTGGTTTACAGAGCTAGCACTTGGAATCGACTTCACTTATTCATTACTAACATTAAAATTTAAATTTGTTAAACAACATAATACATAATATCCTGTTCCGAATTTGTATGACTTTGCTCTACATTTTTATTTGGATATCTTTAGATGCCGCTCTGTTATTTTAAGGCCCTCATTCACCATGACGACTCCCAGTCATCCTACTCAGCCATTTGCCTTACTTACTAGATTGTCGTAAACTATATTTGTATATCAGATGGTATATAACATTTTATGAGTTGGTAACAAAATTATATGATACTTACGATTGACTGTTCCAATGAGAAGACATAATGATTAAAAAACTTGTGTAACTTTTCATTTGCATAATTGATGCAAAGTTGCTCGAAGGAGTTTGTTGTAAAATTTTCAAATCCGAATATATCAAGAACTCCCAAAAATTGATTGGCATCCTTTCCAGGATTTGTGCAAACATTTATTTTATCAACAAGCCATGTAAATGTTTTGGAGTATAAAGCTCTAGCCATCGCATGTCGGTTTTCTCTGGCCTAAAAACAGATCAAACAAGCGCTTATGCCAGTTAATAAGATTAATATTAAATATAGTAAGATTCCTTTATTTAGTTTTATTTAGGAGATAAGATTGCTAAGACCTTAATTAAGAAATTCTTTACCAGACTTTTAAGGAATAAACATCCCAATTTCTAAAAAAAAAGGTCGTACAAAATATCTTATCAGTATTCTTCTAGCAGGACACTAGCAGGACACCGTTCAAATTCACGCTTGTGGATGGTATTATAATTGAATAATGTATAAATACTTTTAATCAGCATCTCTAGCCCAATCGTATAGCTATGGCCACCAGTCTTCAGTTTTAATACCTATTTCGTGGAAACTTATATACCCGTCCATTTAGTGAAAGCAGTACATAAATCGTAGCCGAGTGGATCGGCCGACTTTGTCAATTGGTCGAAAGATAAATTTTACATTTTAGGATCAAGATAGGCGAACAGAAAACGGTTTCTGATAGAATCAAACTACACAAATATGGAATATTCATTTGACAATCATGAAACTGAAAACAAAAGCAGATTATCTACGGTCTAAAGGGCATATTGCCATGTTTGTCAGCTGTGGAGTTTAATACTTATTTAATTATTCTGTGTGGTCACGAAAGTAGACGAGATAAAATTGATATTCCAGTAGATTCGGCTTTAAATTTAAATTTAAATCTAAAGCCTTGATGGCCGCAACTAATTTCCAACAGCACACATTTATTGGGAGCAGGTTACGATGCAGAATGCATGCAGAAGGACGAACAGGCAGACGATAAAATATTTCCTTTAAGGTCAGTCTTTGCTATTTTCAGGAATGAGAAGGATACAGGCAGTCTATCTTTCAAGTGTGACTTTCAGTGTGAGTTATATCGACTTCTGTGCCGGAAAGTTGGTGTTCCCATGCAATTATTTTATCGACCTGTGGTTATTAGTAATAAACTAATTCATTCAAGATTCTAGCTTGCAGGTCGTCGTAGCAACGCTTGCTTCGTCGTAGCAACGCTTGCTTATACAGACAGCAAGACGGACATTGCACAAAATCAGTATTTTCTTCTTGTTTCAGAATCGAAGTATAAAAATATGCATATGAAAAACTTACCTCATGTAATTTTAATGGTATTTCAGTTATATTCCCTCGAACATTAATCTGACGAAGTAAAAGAACCTTTATAAGCTCATCTGCTTTAAGGCCTAGCATATTAGATAATAGTACGATAATTTCTTTGTCATCCATTGATAAATCGCATCTTTCTCCATCTATATCCATTAATTCAATATTACCTAACCAAAGTATTGAACTCAACACTCTAAATATACTATCTATAACGGATTGTGGAATTTGCAATACAGTAAGTGCCATTGTCAGTTCGTCAAATTTATTTGACTCAAAAATTATGTCTATTGAGATATTTTCTGATGCATTAAGATATTTATAAAATTCTGGTGGTTTTAAATGCAATGTTTCGGCCATTTTTTTATTGGTTTGACCTTGAGCTACTAATTGGTACATCACATGGTAATTACGTTCTCCTGAACATTGAAATGTTATCCGTGATTGCTCTAGCAAATAGTCTTGGATTACACAACCTTTAATGCAATGCTTATCATCAAAGCACACTTGCATAAATTTTCCAAACCGCGAACTATTATCATTGCGAATGGTTTTGGCATTACCTAGAAAGAAAAAAAAGTTTATTTAAAAAAAAAATAGTCAACTAATTAAATTTACGGAAAACAAAGATTTTCAGAATATAATACAATACACTATTTTATAACAAGATATATCCTAAGAGCATCACAATTTTGCGTCACACTGAATGAGCAGGGATTCGCATTTACGAAGGCATCAGCGCAACCGGACAGCGCTGAAGCAAATGAGCTTAGTTTTTAAATCAGTGTTACGATCGTAACATTTGATGGGGTATCCAAAGCCATTGATCCAAAGCATAATCGATGAGGAACTAAACAGTATGGTTCTTAAACCTGTTTCTAATGGTTGGCGTACTTCAGAATCTTTTCTTTGTAATGCATTTAAAGAACAGTTTCCTTAAATAATCTTTTTTTTTTTGTGCCAAGTCAAACTTAAGAAGCTTTCTTATCCAAGATGTTCAATCTCTTTTGAGTTTAACGGGATTCTTCAGAAGGCTTATCGGAGCCTCCTCGTCCGTTAATGGATCTTTTTAAGAAGGAAGTTGATTTGAAATTTGACACATCCGCACTGAATGCGATGAGCCAGTTGAAGAAAAATTGTCTGGCGAACCAGCCTTACTCACATTATGCAGATATGAGCACACTGAGTTACACACTAATGCTTCTAAGGAAGGTTTCTGCGCATTGTTACTGGGAAAGTTTGGGGAGGATCTACATCCAGTATTTTTCTGTAGTAAGAAGATTTCGCAGGACGATTCGATAAGGCACAGCAAACAGGCAGCAAAAGCAACCTCGCAACTGGGAAATTTATGCTTTATCTAGCTTATGCCCTACAAGCTAAAAGGCGGAATTGTGTACAAAATATTTCGAGTTTGATGTTATTTATACTAGTATTAAATGATCAGTTTAATACGTAAGCTTACCGAATGCTTCCAAAATAGTGTTAGCTTCCAAAATTTGTTGCTGAATCCATGTAGATACATTTGAAGTAACTGCACATAAATACTTTAAAATAAATTTTGTTGACTCTGTTTTCCCAGCTCCAGATTCTCCAGATATAAGGCAGGACTAAAAGAAATTTAAATTCATAATTTTAAAGTAATATAAAAAATTTCAAAATATTTACAAAAACGCACATTAAATTATTAAGGTGTGACAGATGTATTCAAGAAATCTTTTCCAAATTCAATAAAAAAAAGAAAGAAAAAAAAAGTAGACCGAAGTTAATACGCAGACTTACTGGCTGTGAACTAAATATTCCACATTTTTAAACATGATATTGGAAAGGTTGACATATCCATATGTCTACGCATGTCCTGATCTCACAATATAAAATTATAATTTGTCCTATGACAGCTATATAATAAAGTAGTCCGATCTTGTCGTCTTCGACATCATAGGTAACCAAAGCAGAAAGATGGATATATACCAAATTTCATCAAGGTAAATATCTTAAAACTTAAAAACTGTGGGAGTATTGTGGAAGTATTGCTCATAAAAACAAAACAAAAATCGGGAAGACACACAGAGAATAGTAATGGCACTAGGAGAAGGTAGGCGTTCTTTGGGTATGATTGCAAACGGCGATTCGGACAATCTGACCTCAACAATTTGTTTATATATTTAACACAGTCCATAATTTGTAAAGAATAAAAAAAAAAAATTAAGCTATGAATTGAATCTATAAATATATTTATTTCAAATTAAAAAGGAATATAAAAATTACCGCGACTATTCTATTATAAGAAATGTGCCTTTTTATATACCTATATAAAATAATTTTATACCTAAAATTGTAGGAGATATAGGGCTTTTATAATCTTTGAGGACAGGAGTGTCACTTTTGTCACTTTTTGAACGGTGTAACCACTAATAAAGCTTTAAAAATTGATAATTCCAGCTTTCAAATTGTATGAATCTTATTGTTTTTATCGATTTATACCATTTGGTATATCGTTTTTTTTTGTTCGTGGCGGGAGTGGTTGTATCCATTTACTTTCCTATCGGTTTCAATTTTTTATTTCAGCTCAAAAACTTTAGAAGATATAGGTATTTTGCAATTTAAGGGAAAATAATTGAATTAATATATTGAAAACCCAAATAGAGTCGACGTAGTAGATTTTTTTCAATTGATTTCACAGACAGGTAAAAATCAGAAATAGAACATATACAGAAACTTTTTCTAGTTTTAATGGCTATTTATTTTTACATTTTTGGGTCGATTTTTTTCTGAGTGTAATATATTCATCTGCATTACAAGTTCACCTGGACCACATGTTCTCATTGTTGGTAAACCTCAAAATCAATTTTTTCTACCTCGGACATTTCATGTGAATCATGAGAAACTTACATAGTTATGAAACCTTCAGCTAGGAATTCTATTCATGCATGCCACCTTGTGAAGTGTCATCTAATAGATGTGGGCGCTGATGAAGGTATTGGCTTACCAGTAAATATTAAAAAAAATAATTCCGACATGATATTTAAAATTAATTTAGGCATAAACAATGTTTCATATACATTTTCACCCCAAAACCCCACTTCTATGGTATAAAATGATATGTAATAAAATTAGCTTACCTGATTCATTTTATCTTCAACAATGCTTCTATAGGCAGCCTCAGCTAATGCAAACACGTGAGGGTCTAAAGATCCCATTTTGGCCATGTGATATTTTTTAACATGTTCCTTGAAAAAACATAAATAAAATGTTGTCATTCCTTAAAAATATGTGTAATAAGTCATATAAAAGACATGGCATGAAACTTGATTCTGCGCACATTTTTATACCCTTGCGGATGGCATAATAATTTTGTATAAATTTCAAGATAACTTTTTTTATATAGAGGTTATGGGCTGATGTTTGACGCTGCTATGTAGACCATAAAGCCACTCATAGCTTTCATATTTTGGAAGATATATGATTTTATCGACTTAAACCATCGGGTGTATCGGTTTTGGGAGGCCGAGTGGGCGTGGACATCCAATCTTTTATCGATCTTTAAAGGGAGTTACCAGAAATTTGGTAACTCTACCTCACAAATTGTGGAAAAAAAAATCATTTATGTTTGATTAAAACAATTTTTTACACAATTTAATATTCATTGTCCGTTTCTTAACATTTTTAGCATTTATTAAAATATTGTTTTTGGAATAAGCAAAATAACTTACCTGGTTAAATATATTTATATATTTATATGGATTTACAGCCAGAAGTATTGAGCCAGAGTATGTCTATTTATTTTATTAAAGTAAACCAATTTGGTTTTGTAATTTCATATTTAAACACATATTGAATGTATTTTAACTTGCTCTGGTATTGGAGTGATTAGAAATATTAGATTAAAATCGAATAATAAAAAAATATCGAAAAATCAGAACAGTAATGCATATCCCTTTTTATTGAGACAAAAAAGTTTAGTCTGAAAAAAAAGTACTGAAAGTATTCTGAAATCGTTTAACTCCTATCCCCAACATTCTAATCTGAGCCCGGCTTGAGCAAGCCGAATAATTAACAGACTCAATTTTGACGACGGAAATCAGTCGCCTTCCGAGGATCTACTTTTCTCCCTAATTTTTCTATGTGGTACAAAAATACCCATTACGTCACAATACTATCAAATGATGCAAACTCCTTCGATAAACCACGCTCAAGCAGTGCACGAACAATAGTTCTTATGCTGGCTTCACCTCTATCTGTGCGAAATCGCTCACAGATGGAAAGGAGTTCGTAAAGCTCTAATTGTCACTGGCCATTCTAAGGTTAGAGATGAGCACTGACCACCTGGCAATCGAGCTTGTAGACGATAACGGCAAGAGTGTGTGGCTTCTTTTAGAGAAGTAGGGATGGTTGAGGATAGCATTCTTGCTTCCTCTTCTGGTTTGATTCCCTTCTTCGAAGAGACCTTCAAATTCTTTCGATCTCAGGAAACCAAAGGCTCGATCAGCTGCACAACAAATGTGCTTCAAAATTAAGCTTGCCATCTGGCACCAGATTTAAAAACTGTCAAGATCAGTTTTTGAGCATTGAGAAAAAGTGTTAGCAGACGACAGACAAAGTTTTACGTCATCAACATACATCAGCACCCAAAAATTACTTATCACGGCAGGTAATTTTTGAACAACGTAAATAACAGGAAACCTTAGCAGATGAACTTTATCAATTAAAATTATTATTAGAACAGTAAGTACTTTAAAAAAAATGTATCAATTAGACCCGCGATAGTTTGATCTGAGTTTATCGTCACTCTTATGAAAGTGTTATGAAACCGTTTACGATCCCGATAAAATTGTAAATACAGCTTCTTAGGTAATCTACAAATTGCAATTGTTATTAAGTTTAAATATGATTTTTTTCTCCAGTACATTTCGAATCTCATCAAAGAGAGTTTCACAGAGTTCCATCAGTCAGCTGTGGAGTTTAAAAAATTGGATCGGGCGAGCAAATAAGGAGAGTAACCCGAGGAAAAGCCAGTTTCCATAAAAGTTTCATACATTTTTGATTTATTTGGTCAATTCCTGTCTAAGCCACACAGCCTTGATAGAACTATTTGGTCAAAAAGCAGTGACACACACACAAATAAATCATTTAGGGCAGTCACGACATTTTTATTCCACCATGTAAGTCAGTACTCCTGCAAAGCCGGAACTAGTCAGTCCACAATAAAAGTCGACTTATTTTAGCAAAATCGTCTTTAGGAAACTAGCGAACGAAGGAACCTGACCTAATCTTGCTGACAAACGAGGTATACAGATCTTACCTGCCGAACGGAAACTAAAATGTTGCCAAAGTAAACGCCGCAAATGGACTCAGATGGTTGGTTATCGTCAGCCTCGAAAGCTAAGGCGACTCTCTTATGTTTAGCTCCGCTTTTAATAGGATGCGACTCAAACGCCCATCACTATCACTGGGAAAACACTATAACGTACGGGATATTATTGCACTCATCGTCTCTACTAAACTTATAGTTTAGTGTATAAATTTAATCAACAGGCGTTCATAAAAAAAAAAAACGGATCTAACAGAAGCATCTCTGTCCCTTACTTTCAAATCGAGATAGAGTTTTCACCTGGACTCGACTCTATTATATTAGTAATTATAATCGCGCGGGACAAGAAAACTTTCGATGTATTTTTCTTCTTATATCGAAAATACCTCGGAGGCATTCCAGGATACCTCCACTAAGCAGATAATTCAATAGAGTCGTCAAATCGACCAAAAAGTGAATCAGATTTTTTCTGAGTCTCCGTTGTCCTTTTTTGTCGATTTGTCGCCTCTATTGTATTATCTGATTCGTGGTGGTATCCAGTTAAAATGAAATACGTCGATTATAGCATCGTTTCTTGAGTTTTAAGATATTTAAAAATGGTGAATTATTAAATAAAAGTTGGTACGTTTTGTAAACATATTTTAGAAGCAGCGCTCATGAAACTGGAAAACATTTCTTTATATTCCACATCATAGAGAGAATGATTGTAACTGTTGCATGTGTGTCATTCACAGGGAGAAGCAAGTTAAGCAAGAGAGTTTAATGAATCGACACAAGCAAGGATCTCTTCCAAAAACTATTTTTATTCTTTTTTAAAATTAATTTTAATGTATTCTACATAAAATCTACATATCTGAAAAGGATATAAAAATATAATATTAAAATAATATATATTTGTAAGAAAACAAATTAAATTACATATTGAAAGATTCAAAAATTAATAAGAGTATTAATATTATTAGTATTCATTTAATTAAATTATAATCTAAAATTAAAATTGATACCACATATCAGCACTATAATTTCAGGTCGGTATATTTGAAGTCGTTCGTCAATCCAAAGGACAATTAATTGTTGGAAAACAGCACAATAGTCTTTGAAAAGGACGGCATTCAGCATTCATTACAGCATTCACTCCAGCATTCATTTCAGCATTCATTCCAGCATTGGTTTGTCAGACGATTATCCTGGTAAATGAATGTTCCCCCATAAGATCCAGAGAATTTAACATTGCAATTCTAAATAATACAACCCTCTATTAATTCGTACATTGATCATATTTTGAAGGTTTTCCTTATGTGCGGGGAGTCACTACGCAAACAACTTTATACTGTTTAGAACGGTAATTAAATTAGATTTAATATCAAATAAAATAAACACAGTATTCATAGCCTCTGAAAATTATACTATCCGAAAAATGATCGATGTACGAAATTTTAGTAGTTTGGTTTGTAGTTTTATGGGCGATGTATTGAAATATTTGACTCGACTGCGGATATATTCGAGGTGTTGCAATTGAAATGACTGAAAAATTTATTTTTTTTTAAATTTTAATAAATAAACAAAGTTAAATTGAAACGTGAAAAATTAAACAAAAATTTTAAAATGGAAGAAAAAAATAAATATATTAATTAAAGGGCAAACAAAATAAATCTGGGGGTATTAAAATGTAAAATGGTCCAACATTTATTGCAAAGTTTTAGGTAACCCAGAAAAAAACCAATCAGACCTAAAATTGTTAAGCGTTAGTAGATTAGTAATAAATAATAATAGTAAATAATAATAATAATAATAACTATTAATAATAATAAATAATAATAGAAAAAAGTAAAATTGGAAGATTTACAAATGACCAAACCTGGATTATCTAAAGCGTTGTCAGTTGTAATAGAAAGGAGACAAAGTTCCTAGTAGGTCTACTAGGAATGGAAAATTTAGACGAAATTTCAAAATCAATTTCGCCATTAATTAACTTACATAGGAAAACCACTCGGATAGTATTCTATGGTTAACCAATGACGGAAGATTGATTGGATGCAGCCTGCTGGAGTAAAATGGCACACAAAGATTGGGAACTCGGTTAAGTACGAACGGAATCAATTCGATCCTAAAAGTTCTAAAACTGGTGAGACCAAATACATGAGCACAATTAAAACATAAGGAGACAGTGAAATTTGGTTGTGAGCATCGGTGTACGAAAGAATATGTTTCACATTATAAGCGGATATAAGAATGTATGAATATGAAAAGATGGACGGAAGATCATCAAAAAAAAGGGTAAAATATAAGGATCCAAGATACCTTGAAGTACACCAGAAGTAACATAAACCATTTTTGAGTCCAACTCTTCAAATAAGATGATGTCCAGGAGAGAAAGAGCGATCAAGCTTGTAAAGTAGGTCACGGTTAACAGACTCAAATGCTTTACTGAAATGAGTGTAAATGACATCAGTTTGCACTTTCAGAAGGAAAACATATTTTATCAGGGAGTTAAATTCAAGCAAATTATTAATTGGACTCTTAATAAGCCCATGTTAAACAGAGTAGGTAAGTGATTTGAAGAGTTTTAGTACAGTTGAACTAAGAATTTTTCAAATAGCGAAATACCACTATAATTTCAACTATCAGACTTACCAGCTTTTTGTAAAGAGGAATAATTAATGACTCCTCCAAAACCCTACGAAAATCGTAGATTTAAGGGATAGGTTAAAAAGCCTTATGCAGTATAGAGGTACAGCACTCCTTAAGCACTGGTGTAGAGGAAAGTGTGGACAACAAAACTCGTTTACGAAGTGATTTAATATTGATTGGCTGGATTTAATTTTTTACGTCACATAACAGTTTCAATAAGATTGAGATCCAGCCAACCATTCAAAAGCATACATTTTGCTGCTTTGGATCTTAATGGAACAAATAAATGCCATTACCTCATTATACGAGTATACAACTTTCCACCCAAGAAATCCTATAGCCAGTCTGTTGTATGTGTAAACTTATTCAATACAAATCTGAGATCAACAGTTGTAAAGAATAAGCTCTTTTCGGACAAATGTATGATTAAAGATTATTATGTGTTTTCGATCAAACATATGTGCTTGGAATTAAATCGAATCGTTAGTTGAAAAGGATGCATATATTATGTCTTGCGTATATCGAAGCTTTAAATTACTGTTGATGCCGCTTTCGTCTATTTCAGTAATTGCCGTCATATCGGCAAGGCCTATATTTGATGAAGTCGCCATTATTTCTGAAAAGAGATCAATATACTTATTAATTGTATCAAATAATGTATGTGATAAGTATAGCGGATATTAAAATGCATATACAATTTTAAAATAAGTGGGTAAAATACGAAAAATGAATGTTGAATATGTTGTTGGGTATTTTAGTTATTTAATGAGAAAATGTCTATATCTTCGAAATCTTTTGACATATTATTAACGAACAGGGGATAAATTGGGATCAGGAAAGGATACTGACGACGACTACAAAAGAATTTCGTCTTTGATGTTGTGGAAAAGGATTACAATTATGAAAATGAGATGTTTTGTCGAAGTCGCGGACAAGCTTATGCTTAGGAGGCTAAAAAGGATAGCCAACCAGTGTGACCGTAGTGACCGACGCATTATCTCACCAACCAAGGAGACATTGCAACGGGCATCTGAGAATGCCACGAAATACACTTGGCTCAGTTGAAGGAAGCACGGAGTACAAGAACACTAGGCGAAACAAGCTTACTAAATGCAGAAAAATGTATAATAAAAGCTTTTGTTTCATTTGTGCATGAATTCGCTTTGCTGTCGTAAAAAACTTAGGCCGCGTAAAATATTCAAGGAAAATATATAGTCGCTGCTTCAAACGTGAGATGTTGGAGAATGATCAAAAGGGGATCCGGATCTGTGGTGGAGGCGTAACATGTCTCTGACAATACTGCAGATCAATCTTCACCACTGTAAAACGGCATCCACTGTCATAGAACAGGATGAGTTTATCCAAGATATAGCAATCTACCCTCAAAGATGGAGATTGGGCGTTGCTGAAAATAAACTGTTGAAGATCTTTCCTAGTAATCTGCCTTCCAAGCTTGGTAACTTAAGCTCTTAAATTGCGTGTGATATAGTCTTTTGTTGTGTTTGACGGCGGCTATTTTTAAAATTGTTTTATCGATTTACACTTTCAGAAATATCGTTTTTGCCGGTTATGGGTGCAGGGTTTAGTAGACGTAGCACACAAATTCTAACATTTGACACGGATTCCCTCAGTATCAGAGTATAAAAAATAAACTCTGTCAATTACCCATAAATATCAGCATTTAATTAAAATGACTCCCCTAAATAACATATGAACGATAGAAGTTATTACATGAAAGCGATTACCTCAAACTTTACTTCGCAATTATAATATTTTCTATACTACATTCTACTAGTGTGTTTTGAAATTATTCCTATGGCAAAAATATTATGTAATCTTTTGACAAATTAAAAGTCACATTTTTCAATTTGATTTGCAATAAAAATAAGGTTTTTCTTTATTTTTTATTACGATTTATTTACATTAATAACATAATTAAAGAGATTTATACATGTAAACCATTTTAAAACACATAAAACATATACATTAATATTTTGCTTTTAACTTTATAGCGTTGAAATCATTTTTAAAATATAAACAAATGAGATTATATTCAAACTGATTGTTTTGTAACCACTGTTAATAACTAATAAAATGCAATTCGCATTTGATTTATTATTTATTATTTATGTTTTGAATATAAGAAAATTCAAAATGGCAGGGAATAACCTTATTTTCTTACTCCTAGTTACTTTCAACATATAAAACTGAGAAGGAAAGAACTTGGGGCCGCGAGAAATCGCTGAATTAGCGTTACCTTTTAAGAAAGGCGACAAACGTCATTCAATTTATAGAAGACGCATTGCAACCGAGCCTAATCAAATAATGCTAGTAATAACAATTATGGGACTGTGTGGCACGGGATGCATGTAAGAAGCCAATATTGGCTTTCGTTCGTTCATATGGGTTGTTCTTGTGCATATTAATTAAATTAATTTGTGACTTGGCCTTAATTGAATGCTGTGACTAAGGCATTATTATCTGCTTAATGATGCTGCACAATATATAATTCTGAAGGCTCATTTAAATCACAACGCACAAAGTCCAGTCATGAAAATAAAACATTTTTCTTATTTAAAAAATGGCAAACAGAAGTCCGAATTACCGAGGTTAATGGAAAGCTGCCATAGATATCTGAAACATACAATAAGGAAACCCTTATTAGTTATGTGAAACAACGTTTGCAAGCTGTAAGGGCTCTAAGGGCAGCCATTTGATGGGATAAAATCATTTTCTCAATATTTACTTCAGTTTAATGATTTTTAATACAAAAACGTTCTTGACACCAGGAAGACTCGATATTTGTATATTCTATTAGAGAGTATAGCTTAATGGATCTATTTACTTGCAGTATTAATTCAATTACAAAATCTTTGTAGTAACAGATAAATAAATTAAAAAAGCGTGAAAAGATTATTTGATTCGCAGCAGAAATTTAAAATTGTGATTTTCTACGTATATGTTATATGGATCCTTCTTTCTACTTTCTCTCAAAACCAATTAATTTAGTTAAATAATATTTAATTCATTTATTACATTTCACTTGTAATAATATTATCTCCCACAAATTTATGTCAAAATACAATTTTTTATGTATTTAATCGCAATCTTCCAAATCTGATTCTTGTGGAATACACTAAGACTTTATCTTGAAAATTTGTATTTCTTCTTCTTTTGTTAAATAAAGATGTTTCAGGCAACCATCAGCAGGAGCTCCTAAAACAAATTCAATTTTTCTTTTTAGCATTTAATTTTGGGTATGACACTTTAAACAAACTGACTGATCTAAGATCTTTTGCACAGATTGTGCTGTTCTGCAGGTTAATTTATTACAAATACAAGAGCTTAAAAATCATGTTTCTTGCCGGTTTACTCAGAGCACATAAAATTGGTGGGCGACTATTTATGAATAAGTTTTTGTTTATCAAAAGTTATGGTTTCTATGCTTATCAGCATCTAACTTCTATTTAATAATATCTTTTTATGGACAATCGACTGGCTTAATAAATTCATAGTGAAATTTGGTTATGTGCAAGGGTATTTGATCTTCTGCGTGCCTAAGGTAGCCGTTCTTTCATGCATTTACCATATTCTAGTTGTTTATTTATTACTCCAAATGAATTTTAGACATTTTAAAATGATTTCTTTGAATTATGTTTAAAAAATAATTATCACCATGCTGATCAACTCATATTCTAGAAATTCTGTGTACATTGATCACATTTGCTGCCTGGCGCTTAGTAATAGACAGATCTATCAACAACAAATACTAGTTCGGATACATCGAACGCGAATCTTTTATGTTTAGTGATGAACAAAAGAATTCGCTTGGATGTCATCGATGGGCATACAAGTATTAGAGGAATAAGCGATATCCCAAACCAACCGACTGCTGCGTAACCATGAGGACGAATCTTTCATGGCCTGACCTGCCGAACCATATGAATGCCCATATATAGACAAAATTGCTGGAAAATGAGTGAATCACCTTTCACAGAAAAAGATCATGGCTACAACTCGGTATTTCATCCAGATAATGCATATACGCTGCATTTGAACGCAGGACGACTTGTGAAGCATCCTTTCTGAAAAAACAAGGCATTACAACTCTTTGAAACAGCTTAAAAATATATTTTTGGACAAATAGTGCAGATTTACTGGGCGATTCAAATTCAGTTAATAGATTCCAAGCATTATTGAAAAGTTAACACGGCAAATAACATTTATACGAGATCGAAACCAACAAAAATATTTTGAATATTTTTTTTTGCTAATTTCAATTTAATACAATCTGTTAGTAAACAATTTTAGCTTATCAACAACAACCTAACCAATGTAGTTATTATTATCTAAAAAAGGTGTTTTTGCACTTCAAGTGAGCAAACAATGTATCAAAATTATATTAATTGTTTTCAAGCGACAGAAAAATCAACAAATTTATGCATGCTCCAATATATAAATCATTTTGTGATTCATTTTTGCAGCCAAGATTATATATATACTGATACTCTTGTTTTCGAAGAATACGGGAAACTCCCATGTGGAAGCTATTACTTTTCCCTGATAAGGCATGCATTATATGCATGTTTGTAATACGCCAGTTTAGTCACAAGATACGTTAGCTTATATCTTTAATTTAATTTGCTGGGTATTTCAAAAACTGTTAAAAGCCGATTTAGGTGACACCTCATTTATAACAATTACAAACAAGGCGCGCCTTTTAAATTTTAATATGTATTTATATACTTATGTACATACGTGTGTTAATGCAGCTGCGTTCCAGTGACTTCGAAGCGTCCAAATAATAATCCACAGTTAAACACACGGTTTTCAACTGATAATGGTCCAGAAGGACTATATCTCAATCAATAATTTGTTTATCAAATCTTTACTACTCATTCATTTTCTGTTGTCAAATTTAACTAAAATGTATGTATATGTATAAACTAGAGATGTTAAGGAATTACGATATCAAAATATTGTATCGATATTTAATGCGATATTTAGTATCAAACCGTTATCATATTTTACAAAATTTTTAAAATTGGATTGCTATGTAATCATTTGGAATGGTGAAGAATTAATAATGCCAGAAAAATAACATATTACAGAATAACTGAATGCAATCTGTCTCAAGGCATATCTGCACAAAAGTTGTCCTGAGGTATATATTGTCAGATATTTCCAAAAATTATATTTCAAAATATTGGAATTCTTCGTACATAGGCGATATTAACACAGAGCAAAACTTAACCCCCTATATATGAAATCGAAATTCAATGCAATACATCTGATATTATATCCAATATGATACTTTTTATTTGACACATCGATATAAATTTGTCATCGATATGTGTGTATCATTCCACATCATTCTGCATCAGTAGTAATGTTCCTAATTCATTTTGTTGCACTTAAAATACTATAAGTATTTTTCGGTTCGTCACTCTGAATATTTGGCATTCACTGCTAAAGCCCAGTTTACAGATCGATGAGAAGTTTCGCAATCAAATTTGCAAAGTATATATCGTTTGAGGAACCTAAAAAAAGAGATCGGCCGAGAAGCAAAAATTTAATAAATCAATTTTCTCGCCTTTACGGCATTTATAAGAACACTTTGTTCTTGACGAATACAATTATTTTTCATTACTAATTTACTATTTCAATTTCGATGCACTTGGCGCCTCAATGCTGGTTCGCCGATAACCGCCACGGTATCAATTGGAACGCATGGAAATTTTTAATGAAGTGAAACGCTGTTTACAAAGTTAAATTCATCATTTGTTATAATTGAAAGTTACAATACGGTAATCGTTCTCGCAAACAGAACACATTCATTCAATATTTTCATCCGTTTGCCTTCTTAGCTGAAAGACCTTTGCAGCCCTCGCAACGAGTGAGCCAGCTAAAGAACGAGGCCAAAGGGGTTAACTCCTTCCAGCAGCATTCTATGAGTAACTCTCTGGCAAATGTTGTCGATGCCAAGCCTGTCCGCCCTCATGGAGTTCCGTAGATTTAAGGAGAAAACTAAAATTCAATGTTTAATACATTCTGATTTCTGCTCCGTGTAATCAGCGCAGCGCTGGGCACGCTTAATTACAATATTGGTAGTATGCGGTATACCGACGTGATACGAATATTCAACTGAGAATTAAAATCATTACTTTGACTCTGAAGCATGAGTCAGCGAGCAGCTAACAAAAGAAGCATCCGAGAACATGAATCACGCTATAAGCTAAAATAAAACGCAACTTCAGACAGTTGTATTGTTGTGAAACAGAGCTAGGGCGGTAAATAGGTTTCAGGCAATAATATTGCAGACATTTTCCCCAGGATTCCTAGGATCGAATAAAATACTCGATATATTTTATACATCAAATTCAATATAGAATACTGTAAATGAATGTATGCATGTACAGAAAACCATGTTGAATTCACATTTACAGAACGTTAAGATGAAATGACAATATGTATGTGTTGAGAATGTTATCACTAACTAAAAGATATTTGCCAACTAAACTGATATTTACCAACTCTACTGTGGCTAAGGCATACGTAATTCCAATTCTATTTTATGGAATCGAAGCTTTTGCTAATTGTGACGTTAATATTTTAAATAATCTTGGGGTACCGTTTAACAGTACCATGATCACCTATTAACATAAATAAATCCCAACCAAAAAGGCAGCATACCTCTTTTAAAAGCTCTAAAGCCCAATCTAGTAGAACTAACAATTCAGTAAACACTCCAAATTGAACTTTAGTATAGGAGACTCGTTTCTTCGTTTACCGTGTTTGCGCTTTGAATTAACTCCCCTCTGATCTCAAATGCATTTCATATTACAACTATGATGATTTCTTAACGTTAGTAACCTATTTCCAGCAAAGCAAAGCAAAGAAAATATATATGAAGAAATCAATTAAATTAACTTTTTAATATTGCTAACATCTATATATTATATTACATCTAACTTTTTTGTGACCATCCATGTAAGGCTAGCATAAACAAATTATAAACCTTACATGAAAAGTTCCTAACTCGAGAGGCCCCTAAATTTAAAAACATTAACAAAATTTACGATTTTACAATATCGTATTAAAAATTGGCCCGTGTTATGGTCGGCGAATATATCGATAGGTTCCAGTAACGGTGTGCTAGCACCACCTTTCGGATAGAAGAATACATCACTTTACGCCACCTGTCGGCCAATATTGAAATTTAAGGGGTTAGTTTTAAGAAACAACTGATTTGAAGGAGAGAATTTGTTTTGTATCAGTGTAAATAGGAAAAGAAGACGGCGAAATGCAAAGTTTTGACATCCAGAAAGCATCACTTTTTCCCTTGTGATTAACTCAACAACCGTCTCCTTCTCCAGCCTTTTTTATTAAAAAGTGGACAACGAAAAGAATTCTAACCAGTATAAACAAAACGATCATGCACTGATGCACTATTATTTGATGATTATATGGGTTATGTATTTGCCTTTCTTTTAATATAATGCAACAAAAAGAAGCAAACATTCCGATGGCACATATTAAAGGTCGAAATATGCTTGCTCCAGATTTTTGGATACACTTGGAGATATTTACTTTGGTATTATCTGTAACAGTGCTGCCATCATCAAGTGTCTGGGAAAAGAACACACTGAGAAATTTGTAATAAAGCGAATTCGATATGTGCAAGAATTCATCTAAGGCAACCCAAAGTAAGTTCGAAAATTGCTAGCTTTATGTCAGCATTATTAAGCATCTCGGCACAAACCAAAGCAAATTCTAGTCCTTATTTTTATTGATTGTTTTTTTTTTACATTAGACCTTACAGGCTAGTGAAAAAATTCAGTTGTTCGTTTAATTGTATTCACTTTTTTGGCCATTAACCTCTGCTGTTTATTAAAATTCTTTCTTTTTTTTAAGTACAGCTGTACAAAACTGTTCCAAATTAACTTAAATTTAAGGATGTAAGCTCGACCAATATGCATTACAACAAGACTTAAGACAATATAATATATTGCTAACTTCATGCACTGACAAGTTTTTTACAAAATCCATACTTATATTTAAAAATGTGTTAAGAAATTTGTTGCCTTATTTTATTTAGTTCTTTGCATTCTTCCATTTATCCGTTGCTTCACGTTTTGCTTCCGGAACAAGCGAACTTTTTGCCCCCCCTAAAATGTTTGTAGTCGCTTGCGTTGCCAGAACTGCCGGACACACAACTAACTGAGGTAGTTGCCTGACAACTGCACCAACTGCACCACTATATCCTTTTTGGTCGTGCTCCACACATGCTGCTTCCAATAATGTATTCGCCGATTCGTTTATTCCCTGTAAATAAAAATTAAGATACAATTAGAGAGTGATACAATTTTGCCGACAAGTTTTGAAAGTTGAACGTTTCGATGCAAACCACTATCTCAGAACAATTTGTTGGAAAAGTTATCAGAATCGTACACTGTATCATGCATCTCCCAATTGAATCAGTTAATAGATGACATCTTACATTTTTCAAGTTTCCGAACATATATACTTTTTAAACTTTTACACTGTAGTATATAGACTACACTAAATAAAATAAAAACATAAATACCTATAATATTTTTATACAAATATCTTAAAATTTCGAACGAAAAAAAGAATATAAAAACAATGTTACTGTGGACTGACTTCAACAACGATATACCCTGAACACAGTCGTTATATAATATATGTATATTGCCAAATTAATTTTTTAAAGGTGGAACTGAAATCCGCGGTTGTCGACAAACGCGTGCGTACAAAATTGTTACTTATATATGCTTATACACACGCATATTAAAGCTCCCTTCACTTATCATGCTGTTCCCTTCTCATATATGTAATATTAATGTGTTTAGAATAAGCTTGCACCTGCCGATCGAAATATAACAATATGTTTTAGCACTAATTAGACAATAATTAATTTAATTTAATTTGGAGATGAGGAAAGTCCAAAAATAGCCAATAATATAGAGCCTCTACTACATCTACCTCCACCAACATCAGCACAGACTGCTCTGCACTCGGCTTAACTGCAAGGTGATCTTGATGAGGTTGTGCTGATTTTCAGGCAGATTGTGCAAGATACATAAATAAAAAAAAAATCGATAAAAATCATTGTTATTCTGCTTATGAAAAATGTAAAAAAAAAAACCTATTTAAAAGTATAGTAACTGATTTAAGATAAACTGAATTCATAAACGTAGACACTAGAATTGAATTTACTTCCACAGGCTTGGCTGTTCGGATTTGCATACTATATCAAAATAAAACTTAATTAACAACTCTTCTGTTTCCTAACCGATGAAATACAACTTATAAATTGTAGCAATATAAAGATAAGCCAATTTTAAAACTGATTGGAAGTCTTCATCTAAAATGTCGTTTTTATTGCCGTGGAAAATCCGATACAAGCATAAGCGACATAAACTTAATCTGCACTTCAAATACGAACATTTCTATTCCAAATTTTAAGTCTCTACATCTTGATGTCATCGAGATGCGTATTTTGATGTACGACTAGATCGACTCGACGATTCGATGCGAATCAAGAAAGTTTATAACATCCTTCAACTTGTTGCATACATTTGCACAACTTCATAACAAAAGTACAAGGTATAAAAATGAAGAGAGAATTGGATAGATGGCAGACAGTAAGGGCTTATTATACAACAGCTAGTTCATTTGTATAAATAGGTATGCATATAATGTACTCATTTCCTGACAATATTCTTTATGTATACAAATATAAATAAGTTTATGAACTTTAATTGGCAATTTACCTCCTTTACGATTGTGTAGGCATTTGCAACCCCTTCACGTAAATCCTTGGGCCGGCCTTGTCGTCTTTTACCATGCTTAGGATTACGCCGTCTGCTTAACGATGGTCCAGCAGACAACATGTCAAATGTTGTTTCCGCTGTAAACTAAAAATATCGATGACAAAGATATAGTATTAAAAAAAAATTCTCAGTATAGGACCACTACACAATATAGCTACCATAAGAGCAAATTATCGAAAGTTGAATTTTAATTTGATTGGTCGAGAAATACGTAGACATGTCTACCTTCCTTATAAAATATAACTACACAATGCGGAATGTGGAATATTCAGTTCACACGTAGTAGTTAAAGCAGAAACAAATAAATAACTTTTTTTAAACTTAATAATACATAAAAATATTTCAAACCCCATTTAATGAAACTTATACTATCAACTACTTAAATTGGGCCGAGATATAGTTCCATCTGCCTCCTACTTACATTTGTACAACTTCATTTGTTGTACCGTCATAGCCTAGCCATTTTGTGTAGGTGTCCATTTATAATTATTTTCAAAGTCGATTTAAAATATATTTACCTGGAGTAAATGAATTATTCTTGATGTTATCTCAAGCGCTGCAAACGCTGTTCGGGCACTGAAACTTTGAGCACCTAGTTGAAAACCACGGATTATTCTTCCATCTTTGTTATATTGTTGCAATGGAAGTCTAAATAAGTCAAAGAAGCCTTGAACTGAAATGAATAAAACAATAATAAATACATTATATTTAAGTCACAATGCATGGATATATCTATTATTATATTATATGAAGAATAGAGAAAAGTTTTATATTTAATATTGTTCAAGTAAAAAATTATTAAAAGTTTCAAATTAATTTAAAAGTTTTGATTTGATTCAGAAGTTATGAATCGAAAATAATGATTAATGTGAAAATTATATTTGTAGGAACTGATTTTATTGACACTTTCCTCTTTCAAAACTGAAAAGAATAATAATGATCTTCACTGGTCATACATTAAGTCTAACCTGGCAGACTACAAAGCAGCCACACAAAAACAAAGAAAATTAATGGCGATTATGAATATATATTTATATTATATTGGGTCGAAGATACCTCCATCTGTCTTTAACACATATTTGCACATCTTCATGATACAATATTTAATAGCATAGACGAATACTTACACAGTTGCAGAACAGCATTGGTTGGTCCGATTCCACTTAATATATTTGGCAATTGGTTTCTTTTAATGTCTTTAAGCCATTCCTTACAGACAAATTCAAATAATTTGTTCCAACCTAAAAGCCCCCGCCTGAAAACGGATAGATTAATAATAAACAGAGTAAACAAGTTGTTGATTAATTATCAATTTTTAACTTACCGATTTATTACTTCACGTAGACATATTCCAGAACCCTGTAACTGAGCAAGTCCCATTACTAAACCAGTTATTGGACCCCGAGAAAGCTCAACTCTTCGACCATGGTAGTCAAAGCATATTGGTAACGCAGGACTAAATACAAACTCCTTAAAGTAAGTGGGATGTACATCATTTGGGGAACAATCTTCTGCAAACTCAAACGTTTTCGAGCCTTCATCTGAATCTAGTTCTTTTTTCTCGTTCAATTTGAAATTATGCAAAGCATTCGATATTTCATTTACAGCCATCATTGGATCATCATAATTTGCTACATTGTCCACATTATCACCAGTGGACGATCCTTTCACTAAAGCAGAAAAAAATTCTTCCAAAAACAATAAAGTGTCTTGGTCAATATTAAGTCTGATGGGCAAAATTGAAACTTTTAATGAGCATTCCTCTGCTCTGTTTTTCTTCACATTTGATCGAACGTTCAACGCTTTCACTGTTATCATGTTTCCGTCGTTTCTCTGTGGTAAGCTGTTCTTATTTGAGTGATAAAGAAGCTTATTAATATCTGAAGTGAGTAAGCGGTCTCGAATTTCTATATCCGAAATAACCAACACTTGTCGAGACGCATAAACGGATTGTTTAGGGTATGCATCGTGGGATAAGCGAATCTTCGAGAATTGAATTTCGACAAGCACATCTGAATTTCGGGATGTATTCAATTCATCACTGGCTGCTTTTTTTAATTTTGTGTGTTTTTTCCTTGGAGCTTGTGATACACCGTGCTTATAAGTTTCCGACATACCAATGCCTGTTGTAAAACTAAAATAAAAATATGATATTATTTAGAGGGAAATAACTATTTAATTATATAATTTGGAAAATATAACTATTGATATAAATATTAAATAAAATAAAATTGTATAGTCAAATTAGTGAGTTGTTATTCGATTATATAAACAGCTGTTTGAGTTTATTTTGTATGCCCGAGATTAATAGCTGCAATTTATTTAATAATAAAGGCCACTGACAATAATATAATTATATGAGACCTCACAAAAAATAAAAAAATGTCAATGCAGTTGTAGTTGTTGGGAAGGTGAAGCCATGCCTCTACAGTTCATTCTTTATGAAGCCTCTGGCATACCTATATTTTATTATTATTTGTTAAAGTGATCCATTAAGAAATAAATTTGCAAGTTAAGGTATTAATAACCTCAAACTGATAAGCATTAATCTTGTAATTTTTAAGATTCGGTACTTGCTATATGAAATTATTTCCTCAGATTTTCTTCATTATTAATAGTCTGTAAGAAATAGTTTTGACTGCTGCCCAGTGACTAAACAGTTGTTGTTCTTTTTAACTAACGACATTTTGGCATTCGATCCATATCGTTTTATATTAATGTTTAATTGTGGTAATGATTTGGTTCTCTTGTGAGATGATTGATTTATTTGAAATTTTCAGTTTCCGTTTTTCATACGATCAACTGAAAAATAATTTTCATAGATCTATAAATAAAAATTCAAAACGGAATATCAGAAAAATTAATACCGTGGATTAAAAATAAAATAAAATAAAATAATTGTACAATCGTGCAAACTGATTATAGAAAATTTACTCGACGTGCGTAAAAATGTCGTAGCCATGAAATACCTTCAAATATTAGTATGAATTATTATATTAATAAAATAATAAAAATCTCAAATATAAAACACTAAATTGCACATACCTTGATTTATCCTTTTTTGTAGGGCTACCAGTTAAATCTGGAAAATCTTTTCCTCCAAACAAGTGCCATGTAAATGTCATCTCACACAGTGTATAACTTTGCTCAGGTATTGGAAAATGTACAGGAGGCCGTAGGACATCAACTTTTTCACTTGGTAAACAGAAATGGTTGTCAACTATTTGAAGTGGGTCTTCAGAAACATATATTTGCTCAACTCCAAATTTATCCTTTAGCAGAAAATAAGATATAATCAACATATTTGCTTAGATCAAGTTTTGTCCTTAAGTATAGCAACGCAGGATATTTAAAAATATTTTAAATTCACACAATTAGTTATTTTAGTTATGCCCCGTAGATAATATAAATTATTATAATTTTCTCATAAAAAGAGTATTGCATTGAAGGCGACACGGACTAACCCCAAAAGGTATGTTTAAATTCTTGATCAGCATCAAGAGTCGTGTCAATTACCGTGTCTATTTTTCTTTTCTTTTTTCAAATTCAAACTATAGTTTCAGTTTATTTTCATAACATTTTAAATTTCATTGCCCATATCATGAGTCTCGGATCTTTGAATAAAAATATTCTTTTCACGTGTTTTGAGCGATAAAAAACACAATATCAACAAATTCAATAAACTTTGGTTTGATAACGATGAGAAGACGATTTTTTCGTAGTCCGACCCATCATCCACATCTAGAATATGCAAACTTAATATAACATCGGTACTTGAAGAATAATTTCCGTATAAAAAAGAAATGTTTATGATTTTTCTATCCATTTGTAAGCCGTTAACAATTAACTCATTTATATTTTGTAACTTCAACACATACCACAAATGACTGTGTATACCCCATTGCTGGCGAAGCTTTTTATGTTTACTTTTTATAACCCTTTTTTTTTTAAATGCGTCAAGTGTATTTGTTTGTCAATAAATATTTAAACAAACCGATCAATTTAGTTAACCGAATGTATTGCAGAGATTAAAAATGCAGCAAACATAGCTTTAGCTCAGAAATGTTTATTAGTTAATAAAAAAATAACTTACCATAAAAAAAATTTCCTCATCGTGTATGACATGAAAGTCTCTTTCCTCTAATACCTGCGCAGTGGTAAATAAAGTAGCTCCAAGATCGGCTTCAACTTGTGGTAGAGCATTTTTTTCGTGTTGATAACATGATTCAAGCATTACATTGGATTCAAAGTCTGAAATATTGCAGGCATCAAAACTATTTTTGAATAATGATGTATTTTGTTGGATTTCAGTTTCATTTTTCTGTATCACATTCATTTTTGTAGATAAATCTGATGGCGAAGTTTCTTTTACATCTTTTACAGCATCGGCCATAAGTATATTTATATGTTTTAGTGTATCATCATTATTCTGATCATTTCTGTTTAATGGGCAATCATCAGGTTTTTCAGGGCCAACGCTATTCTTTTCCTTTGACATTAAGTCTTTATCGTTTGCAATATACGCAATAAGTTGTGCTAATGCATCTGCTGCGTCAAAGCACGTTTTTAAATGCATGTCATGAATTGAAGACCGCAAGTCAATGTTAGGATATAATTTACTCTGATCATTCAGATGTATTGAAAAATTAATCAGTCCCACGCTTAAGACTGGGACTAAGCCAGAACAATTTATGTGAGCCAATTGTTCATCAATGACGTTGCCTCCTTGAACCTAAAAATATGTAAATATAAATTCATGTTTATTTATTTTATGTATACTATTTAAAATCCAGGAAATACATAATTTAAGAAATGAATATAGAATAACTAATATTAAAAATACTAATTAAAACATTTTAAATTTAAAATTGTAAAATATGTATAAGGTATTAAAATATTAAATGATGGAAACCTACAAAAAAACGAATCGTGCCAATCTTAGTAAATTACAGAAAACACTGACTTAGTTTGTTTGGTAGATTTTTGGGGATTAGAGCTTCAATTTGGAAGATTCATATGCTTCATCTGCGATCATGTGTGCTGATCAAAGTTGCGGAAAAATTAATTACGATATTCGAAGCTGAGCAACCTATATAATAGGCAAAGGATTATCACAAAAAAATTGACGCTAAAACTTCTTAACGAAAGGGAAATCACAGTAAAAATTTATACAGGTCAAACTATAACTATATTGTCTGCATTTGCTAGGATATTGAATTACGATCCGAGCTGGCTCATAGATGGGCGAAAATGAAGATGTAAGAATAGGAAAATCGATTCAACTAATTATAAAGTTGTAAAGAAAATTAAGGATATATATGCAGAAGATTTTCTTCCCAATGACTTTTATACACTGATATAAAGAAAAAGCCAGTAAAGGTGTAAATTCATTAAGCACGCTTTTTTCCTACAATTTTTAATTAATATTTAGATTGCTGCTAACACCTTTTAAGAAGTGGAAAATTTTGCGGGCACGCCCGTTCCCGCATCAATAAATTTTGAAATCATAAGTCAATAACATTTTTAGAGCTAGACTTAGAAAATTTAAAACTAGATTAATGACAATCCTTTTTCAATTGTCGATAACTTAAGATATAAAAGAATTACTTACTGTTGGGCCAATAGACAGAATACAGTCTTCAGTTATCATTCGTAAAGTACATCCAGTAATTGGATATATAATGTTGCTGCTAAAGGAGCAATATCCAATATCAAGTAATGCCCGATATGCTAGATATTTTGGCCTATAATGGATATATTTAAAAAGTATTATTTATTGTTTAAAATTGATGTAAAACTGACTTTTTGTAACCAACTTCAGTTCAGGCTGACTAATTAAACTTTTTTGCTTTGATAAAGTGGAGTAATATCATAAAATCTTTATTGTTGCGCCACATCCATTTTCGCAAAACTTCATCTTCTCTCGCTGGAATGTTGGGAATTTTAATTTTGTTTTTTAATTTGAAATGCATTGAAGAGACATCTCCATCCAGGGTTTCCTCTAAAAACTGGACATTTCTGATTTTTTAAAGCGGATTGTCGGCAGTTGTGGCCATGACTGGTGCCAATTTTATACTTTTGGCATCAGTATAATAACGAAATGTTCCTTTGCCTGTCAACCTGCGGGGGACTTCCCAATAACCAGTATCCTTGTTCCGATCGCTCAAATATTCAATACCAGAACTTAATTGGTCTATTGTCTAAACGTAGAAATAATTTTTTGAATGTCTTCGTAATGAATGTTTTTTTTTATAGAAAATTGGTTGAGATCGACAATATTTGACTGTCAGATTATGTCAACAAAATATATATTATAGGAATGGTATAGCGAATCGTCGAGGTGACAGCATACTAAATGAAGTATAAACATACTCCAGTCAGCCGGAAATGATTAGTTTGAATTCTGATACTGAAATTGTTGTTAAGCTTTTCATTTAAATCTCTTCGTCTGATATTTTAATTTATATGCAACATTTATCTCATATTAAAGGCATTTCTTCACATTTGCGAGGCTATGACTGATTTGTTGTTTTAGGCGGTCTTAATTTCCCTAACAGCGAATGGTAATTTTTACTAGCACAAGTTTCCTCATTCCTTCAGATCACTATGACTTCTTAGATCTTTTGGAGTTTCAGATCAATTTAAATTCTTTATTTGATTAATAATTCCCATACTATTGTTGTTTCTAGGCAAGCTCCCTAATTAGTTGCTGAAAATGTATGAAATTTTAGCATTTAAATATCTTTCCGGGTCTAAAACTACCCAAAGTGATTACAATATGCTCGATGCTCGATGTTAGTTTTGTAGCGAAACTGATTGTTGTATTCTCTACCACACAGTTGACAGGCTCAAGTTAGGTTCATACGGACAGACGAATAGTCGGAAGACGGACTACACGACTAACGCATAAATTCAATATGTGCTGGATTTATACGAATTGACCAAAAATACTATTTTTAGTGTTCGCTTAGTCAATCTTATCAATCAAGTTTATATTATTTTCCATTAAAATAATAAACTTACCGATACTCCATTGCAAAGTTCCAAATATGGCCCTGAATTTCCGAAACAAGCGCATATGGTTCGTACGCTTCAATAGGAAAGTCCTGAAATAAAAAATCTTTATTCTTAAAAAACAAGTAAGCGAGTGATGACAATACCCATTGACCATTCAAATTTCGTAACACAATCTCTAAAATTAGAGGTGAAATAGGCTTTCCCCAATTTTGCATAATCTTAGGAGGAGATTCCTTTAATTATAACTTCTTAGTTTGGTAACTCCAACTGCGGGAGGTATAAGCTTTTGCGATATTTAGGGGAGTATGCGTGACTCAAATTTTTTTATTCGCTTTTTGAAGGATGTTAATAATAATATACATTTCGAGTTTTGTGACTAGCTTTCGAATTGCTCTATCCATTTATACCATTAGGTATTTTAGACTTTGGAGACGGTTATTTTTTTATTGACCTTTAAGAGCAGTTATCAGTAATTTTTCGAAATTTTATTATTCTATCTCAAATCAAATACTGTTGCAGATATAGGCATTTCCGATTCGTGGTCCGTAAGTCGATTTTTAAAGAACTGCGTTCCAAGTTTGATGATTCTGGCTTGTTTTGTGATTCTACCTCAAAATTTGTGGAATACATATCCATTGTAGATTTCTAGGGGCTGGAAGACTGGGGGCATCGTTGGTGGACATGACCGATCTTTGAAAGACGTCACCAACAAAATTTTGCGTATGTAGCTTTAAAATGTTATAGTCATATTTGAATTTTACCGATTTGCGATTATCAGTTATATAGATTTTCTATCCCGTTTGTCTGATGTAGGTACACATGAGAATATGTTCTAAGGTTCAAGTCTCCAGCTCTAAGGGTGTCGAATAAAAAAGCATACTTACAGTTACATTTAAAAAGTCGATTAGTTGATAAATCCAATGATTTACTGAATATTCAGGCTTATGCCATACATTGACCCCATTTATTCCAAATGCAAGCTTTATTCTCTGTAAAATAAAATAAAATATATTTATTTTCAATTAACTTCATGATTGTACTTAATGTTTTTAGTATCAGGCTTAAAGGAACAAGACTATGAGCATTTACATTGTATGAATGCATTTAATCGGTGGTATAGGAGGTGCAGGCAAAACCAGATCAGCGACAGATAAAGATGAAAAAGGAAACGATTTTTCGGCCCGAAACCCAACTCAATTTAAGGATTCACTACTTAAAATGGCGAGCAATAAGAAAATCAATCATCAAGGAAAGCGGTACTCACTGGACATCAGGAAGAACCCACAATAAAACTCTATTGTTAATCTGAGATCCAAAAGGAAACTTGTTTAAGAACTCTATAAGGAAGATGACGTTAGCCGTCGTTGTCGTTTACATCTAGGCTCTATGACTTTTAGGCTTATTAAGGCCAAAAATACTGCACTAAGAAATTAGGCTTTACGACTTTGACTGGGATGATCCAATTCTAGATTTCCTGTCAATCAAATAGTCTTCTGATCATATTCGGAGGTTTCGGATGCACGCTTCAAACTAAGATACGTTAGTAGCCAACAGAGTTGGAGATATCCAACAAATAAATTCAGACGTAACTTGCTTCTATTTTTCTTCCACGAAGTAGAATCGAGAATCCAACTTAAAGATTCGCTCGGACATTATTGCTTTGTGGTAAGGGCCAAATCTAAGTCAAGCACTCGACAGCCAATACAACTGGACATTCAACGTATCTGACGCAGGTATGCTTCAATAACACATAACCCTATCCAAATATATAATTTTGTTTGTATAAACCATTGATGAGAAAAAGCCGAACAATATAAAGAATATTATGTTAAACATTTTAATTACCTTTAAGCGTTTATCTGGTTGCTTTTTTAATTCAGCGACAACAGATACCATTTCCTCTCGATTATTTGTCACCCTCTGTTCATTTGGAAGGTTACAAATTATCCGTTTAAGATTTGTATCAGTAGCATCACTCCAAGCATTGGCCGATTCACTCAAGATATTTCCTGCAACATGAAATATTGCGTTAATAAAAGAAAAAAGGAACAAGTAAAAAAGTTCTGAGAAGAGAGATCTCGACCCTGATCATAATTTCTTGCCTATACTATTCTCAAGCCCACCCCAGTCCCTAAAAATCAAATATACTTCTTTCTTCTTTCGGTAACTTTCTTCGAAGATCGATATAAGCCGATATACCAGATGGTGTAAGTCCATAAAACCATATGCCCCACACAATTTGAAAGCCAGGCACTAGGTGCACTATGCTCGACTTACTCGGGTTGCATCTACCGGTTGCATAGTCACCGGTAGCGTAGATGGTAACGAGGTGTGGAGAAATTAACGCGACGGTTGACCTCGAAGTAATAATGCCAGTGATAGCAATAAATATTTCAACGAAAGGTTGGCAAGGTTAGCCAACTTTCTTAGCGTAAAATGGTGAAATGGACCGAACAGCAACAAAATTATCTCCAATGATGGTAACTAAACACCAGGATCAAAGTGATTACATCACCTTTCATCACTACTGGTAGCTAATACTGGCAAGCCTTACTTAGAGATCGAGTACCGATCATTAGCTACAGATTCGCTTCACCAAACTGAAAATAATTATCACTCCGCTTACAGTTCACCTGTGTTTATTTGGACCGACACACAGACGGTCATTGCAATATCGAATATCTTACGAATATCTCACTAGATGGGATCATCTGAATTATTATTATTATTCTGCCTGAGAATGCGATAATAATTTGAAAAACAGACAATTTTATTAGAAATAACATATAGATTAAAGCACGTTCTTCTGTAATATCCCTCATACCCACTGTGCCCCTGGGTGCCGTGAATATAAAGAGACCAGCAACTATAAACAGAATATGTTAAATTAGTTTTTAAACTTACCACAGTGATATACATCAATTTCTTTTAATTGAGTACAAAAATAGCTTAGATTTTTTTCATTTTTAAGGCCAGTAACCGAAAATAATCGAAATTCTTTTATATTGCATTTCAGTTTTCCACGAGAAGATGTTTGTTCTTTATTTTCCAAATCACGAATATCCGTATACATGAGTAAGATCCCTTCTTTAACACATAATTCGAAGGAACAGACGCTATTTTCTTCTTGTGATGTAGCAGATTGCGGCTCCCACATTAATAAGTTCCAATTCAGACGGTTATAAATTATTTCGTAGAGATCTTTAGATCTAAAAACAAGCAAAATAAATTTTTACTGATTTTTGAATTTGTGTTTAAAAATGAATAGTAATAATAATAGGGAAAAGAAATATGTTAAGAGAAATAATGGCCATCTTAGGCACGCCAAGAATTCCACATCATTGCACTGCATATTTATATGATTTATGTTTCACGAATGGCAGTAAGATAATATTTCACTTGATGCATTCGCTTTCGACGTCATTAGCAAAAAGATGAGCATGTAAACCAATTTAAAATCGGACAACCGGACAGACGAACATGGCTATATTATTCAAGAATCAAGAATATTGAACCTTCGGTTATCCCGAATTCAAAATAAAAAAATCCGTGGTTAGGTTTGAAATATCGACAAGACTTAACATTTTCAAAACAAGGTATTGTTTTACATTCTATATACATAAACTTGAAAATGATTTCCATGATTGACATTTTAGTTTTCACTCTTACATTATAGTTCTGCATGAAAACAACGTTTTTTTTTTAAAAAAAGTTTTCTACCATTTTTATTTAAGCAGACCGTAAATTTCAATTGTGCTGGAATTTTGGGGACCAAAAAAATGTTGGTAGAGTTTCCTAGTAACCTTCCTTCCAAGTTTGGTAAATATAGCTCTTAAATTAGGGGAGATATGGGCTTATGGGAATTTTGGCGACGGAAGTGGGTGTGGTTGAAACTATAACTCTTAAATTCGCTTTTCACGGATTTTTGAAGGGTGTTACTAGCAATATTCCTTGTATATTTGGTGACTATATCTTTAAAATTGTGTGAGATATACTCGTATGATTTTATCCATTTACACTAACCGATTTGGGGAGGCGCAGTAGGCGTGACCATCAATTTTGATCGAAATCTTAAGGGAGTCACAAGTAACGTACTTTCTAAATTTGGTGAATCTAGCTGACAAATTGTCGAAGATGTGTCTAGGGTCTAAGTTCCTGGAGGCGGCGGAAATTGTGAGAGATATGCGGTTGTATCAATCAGGTGCGGGCGTGGCCATAAAAATTGATTATCTGTTCTTAAAGGCAGCTACCAGTAATATACCTACTAAATTTGACGGCTCTAACTCAAAAACTACGGAAGCTATAGCCATTTTAAAGGGGCAGTGGCCTGGGCGACATGGTGGAGCTGGGCCTAGCATATGCCGATCTTTGAAGGACATCACCAACAACTTAACAACCAAATTTGGTGACTGTAGCCTTAAAATTGTGGGAGATATATGGCTTTATCGATTTGCGATTATCGATGTTATCGACGGACAAACAGCAAAGCGATCGTTGCACAAAACTAATATACTATCAGAGTATAAAAAAAATGATCTGACTCAATCTCGATCGCACTGAGGGTTTGTAAAAAATTTGTATTTGTGTGCTAAAAAAAATGCCTATTTATACACGTTGAAATTTTGTTGTATCCTCAAGCTGATGTGTCCAGGACAAACACAACTGATATTGGCAAGGATTTTTTGTACTTGGAAACCAGTCCAACTACAACTGAATCAATGAACTATTACAATTACAAGGCTCTATTGCTTTGTATTGCAATGAATGGAATGTGAACATAGCTAAGCTACATTATTAATAGAAATAATATTAAAGAATTTTGTTGTCACGCTTAAACTTTAAGTGCTTAAATGATTTCTTATTGATGATGTAGTAATATCAATAATTTATCTTCAAGGACATATTATTATACACATACCACATATAAAGAATTTTACTCACTCTAATACAATTTTAACTTTTGGAATAGAAACCAGAATTTTCAAATTGGATGAATCCTTACAACCTTCACAGAATTCATTTATTTCATCAGTGTCTCCAGGCAAAAAGAAATCGGTCTTGTCTAAAAAAGAAAACCAAAATAATATGCATAAGATTAGGCATCGCAAAAATTAAAATAATTTTCGAAACTCAAGAAAAGCAAGTCAATCACAATAAAGCTAAAGAATTATTAGGTTACAAAATATTTTGTGATACATAAGCTCAATGATTATACCCAATATTAGGAGACGTCTCCCACCCCATTAAAGAAGCAGGAAAGGGTATTCACCGGTAAAATACGTTTAAAATTTCTTAACTCTATCTCAAAACCTATGGAAGATATAAGCATTTCCGATTTTTAGGGAGTTCAACACTTTTGTCTGACGGGGGTACATACGAATACATATTGGGGTAGTTGTGCAACGATCAAGGGATCACGGCACGTTTCCTCAGCGACTGCAATATAAGCATTATGCCAATCTTTATATTGCCCAGCAGTTGGAAACTTTAAGATAAGAACAATTTTTGTATAGACAATCCTTGAGCTGTTATTAGAAGACAAATCGAAAATGAAGCAACGCAATATACAAACGACTGTACTAAATTCCAATACACAGTCCTGCTAAAGCTACCAGCAATATGATCCACAAATTCCACAACGGAACTATAAACTCGATTGACGGTACAGTATATTACTAAAAACACTGAATTATAGTTGAAAGTTTGTGGCATATAAATGTATTGCGTTGACATACGTGAAAATGTTTGTCTTATCATCATAACTGAGTGTTCTTCAGAGTAAGAGTTGCGCAGGTTTCCGTATCTTCGTCCTATATTTTTAGCTTCCTTAATATATGACTTGCTTCAGACTCTCGGTTATGTATGATAATCTATACCGATGATAATCTAAGGTATTTAAATTAATTAAATATATATTAGAAAATAGATCATATGGTATCCTTGTTACCATAAATCATAATCGATTTAGAAGCGGTTTCTAAATCGATTAATTATGCCTTCCCTTTAAAGTCAACTGGACTTCCATAAACTTAAGATATTACATAAATTAGTGCATTTTTCGACTGTCTTCATACACGATACGTATTTGTTAAGTTTGTTTGCTTATTTGTACAGAAGCAAAATTAGCTGTCTCAGTTTTGACACAGTTTTAATATATCGATTAGATGTGGGATTTGAATTTCCTTTATACACTATTTATCATTTTGCTTTGCAAACTGTGTTTTATTATCAGATTCGAAATATTTATTACCTGTACTCTCGTAAAGTCCGTCGATATTAGATGAATAACCATATGAACATTTAGAGCTGAAAGGTGATTTACATTTTTGTCTTGCGCTGTTTTCAAAAGATTTAGCTTCCTCGTCCTTCGAGATATCATTCGAACTGTAGACTCTTACAACAATTCTGAAAAAATATTCAAAACAAATTTTCATTATTATTTTGAAATTTTGAGAATTTTATGGTTAATGAAGTGCTTAACTATCAACTCTCTGAACTAAGCATACAAATCAAAAAGAGATAAGTATTTTAAAGGACCGGCTCAATAATGATGAAAATATTAGAAAATGCGGCAGCAAATAATGACTACTGGTTATGGCTTATTGAATTTCATTTAATTACCTTTTTGTACACTAGACAAAAATAAAAGTTTCAGGAAGACATGCTATCAGAAGAAATTATAATAGGTTGGGTTTTATTATGGATGCACTCGTAAGGTGTAACTTATAGTTTTGGTCCGGATATATTGAACAAATGCCAGATCTTAACAATGCTGATTAAAGAATTTAAATATCTCTTTATTATTTACCATGTAGATTCTCTTTGTGCATCTGTAACGCAGACATGTTATAGTCTATATTGAATACGAACATAATAAAAATACATCACAAACCACCGTTAAACCCTCTAGGTCAATTAAGACAATTCTCTGAAGTAGCTTAAAAAGAAACCTATATATTACAGAAAGAACTAATAAAATAAGAACTAATAAAATAAAAATCTCATGTGCCTCCGTTATTAACTCTGAATGGGCGAAGACTGAACTGCTAAGACTTTTTGTCGTGTGTAAAACATATGTGGGTGATTTAATTAAATTTTAAATGGCAATATAATTTTTAGAGCAAATATAGTTATAAAATGTGAAACAGGTTACAGCTTACTTTTCCATGTCAGCCGGCGACTTATCCAGTTTATTCTGAGATGAACATTGCATGATATGAATATCATTCTTAATGCCTTCATCCTGAAAACATAAAATGTATATTTTGTATAGAATGTGGTAAGTAACCATAATTTGATTTATTAAAATAGTTTGCTTCTTTCATTTAATTTAATATCCAATCAATTAACCATTTTTAAACTTAAAATTTTAGCACTTCCAATAAACACGTCATACAATACACGCTATTTATGTTTACTCTGCAAATGGCCGCTAATCAAATATATTTACGAACAGTTGTTTGAAATATGCTGATGAGGCACACCCATGGGCAAGAAAATCATCGGTCAGCGAGACGTTGTTACAAAAGACCCGCTGAGTAACTCAAGCGGCTTCGCTAGATGCGTAAGCTGCACTTGTGGAGACCAGCCGGGTCTTCTGTGTTCCTTCAGTTCCCATTATACTGACGAAGAGGCAAGATGGCCTTCTTTATAAATTATTACTGATATATTAACGATCTACATCACTAGCCGAGCCATGTCCGTCTTTTTAAGCAAGCAGCTATTTGGATACTAGGGCTGCAAGCATTTTTAATTATTTTGATTACATAAAATTAATTAATACTTTCAGTTTGCAGTTCTATGGCAAAATATGTATTTAACATTTATTTTCAAGCTAGTTTGCATTATTGAGTACAGAAACAGTTCAAAAATAAAATAGAGTAGATTTTAAATAATTGCAAATGCACATCTAATGCTTTTTGCGCTTTCGCATGTCTACATCGACTCAGGTGTTGATCTTGATTAAATATTTAAGCGGTCGGATATCCTTATTCTATCTATTATATACTGTTGGACAATTTCATTATACCATTTTTAATCTTTTTGAAAGGGTTAAAATTAGTACCCTATCCGATGAGTAAATTGAAGCTAGTCATTTGAAATACTCTCCACTCTGCGTAAATTCTTATAAAATATTGCAAAACTTTTCCTCAGTGTATATATTATCTTTAATACTATTTTTTGAGAAGTCTGCACATTTTTGAATACCGTTAAAACAAGACGATTTCTTAAAACAATTACTTACACAATAAAATCCTTCGACTTTATCCACAATTACACAAATATATGATTTCCACTGAACTAATACATTTCGGAAGTCTAATAAGAGATAGTCGCTTCGTATATTTTTCGTCATGGGGTCTCGAAGTAGTCCGCCGTCTATTACTGGAAACCTAATTTATTGGTAAAAAGAAGAAAATAAATAAATATATTGCAAATATATATGCATTTAGAGATTAAATTATTAAAAATGTGTGAAAATTGTTGTGCATTTTATTCTTATATGTATATTTTAAAATTATACATATGTTTATCCAAGACAAACATTTTTAGAATAAGAAGGTAAACTTAACTTTCTGGCCAACCAGTGTAACAGTGTGTTGCACTTACCTTAAGTTTATTTTGAAAGAATTACATTTAATTTGCACATCCATTGGATTTGAATTTTCCAGTACTACCTCATGAGCATCCAAATCTATAAAAGGCGATGCACTTATTAGAGCACTTAATCTGTCATAAAGTGAAATATCCAACTCAATGGTACAGTCGTCTAAGGTGCATTCAATTGTGTTACTACACGTGTTGTAGTTCTGCTTAAAAAGGTACGACGAATTATGAGACAAAGTAATTTCTGGTCTAGTGTGGTATCCTTCTTGACAATTCTGAAAATAAAAACGTAGTGTTATTTGTTATCATTTTAAATCTATATTTTCATGCTTTTTTCGAAGAAAAAAGTGTAACTTGGAGTAAGTTAACGATGAATTAAGATGTGTTATGATAGTTTGATCGAGTTGTTTATCAATCTAAAAGTATTTCGTGAACTAAAAGAGAACAGATTTGTATGAAAATATGAAGTTGCAAGTGAGTAGGGCAAAATTGTATTCCATATTATGAACCTACTACTTAGAAAATGTGAGAATATTCTACAAATACTACTTCAAAACTGATTATGTTGTCCATCACAATGAACAAAAAGAGAGGGAACAGAATAGCAGCACAATTTTGAAACCTTGTCTGGCACGAGTACAGACAAATATACTTTTATACCATTGGTATCAGAGTATAAAAAGAACAGCCTCGACTTAAGACAAAACCGTGTCAATAAAAACATTCCCAGTTCCCAATTTCATAAATTGTATACAGACATATAATAATATATAGGTAATATATATATATCTTAAGCGTCGGTATTATTGGAATCGCACGTTTCAACATGTTAATTAATTGCTAATTTCCTTCGTGGTCGTTTTGCATATAATTAATTATCGTTAAAGAATTTATTACATTTATTCTATGTGACTCGTTCAAAGTTTCATTTTAGACTGAACTAAAGTTTGTTGCAAACTTAGCCTCTATTAATCTTAGAAGATTTTACTTAAGAGCTTGTTTTATTCCCTTCTTAAACTAGAGCTTAAAATTGCAAAAGGATTTATATTTGTGTGTGACTATATGCGCTCATAGATTTCGGAACTCTGCACAAAAACATTGATTTCTGCTCGCCTAGCACGCTTGATTAACATTATATCAAGCTATATTCCAATACAATTAGATAACAATATAGTAAGGAAATTGATCGAATAATTTAAATAAATTAGGCATGTAAGTAAGTAACTCTTATAGTCTCTAAAACAACCGGATAGATGGATCGACAATCATATGAACGTGACTATATGAAGTCGGCTGTTAATTCTGATAAAGAATGTATTTAGCTTATGAGGGTCGGAGACAGTTCTGTCTGCCTGCTACATAAATATGTACAACCTTATAATAATCATCACTTAACCATTAACAGTGGGTACAACGCATTCAAATAGGTCAATACTCACATTTTTTCTGTCAAACAAAATGAGGTGACTCTCGATGTTGTCAAGTATTTCACTGAAGTCAAAGGTCGTTGCTGACAATGTACTCTTTAAAGTTAGCTCATTACATCGCCTCTGTTGATTTCCACTTACTAATAAGGAGGATACCATAATCAGAAGATAGTTACTGTTTGGTATTGGTATATATTGTTCCTTCAAGGGATTTTCCATATATGTGTTTGGGAAAAACGTATTTGCAATTTTCGAATAGTTCTCGAAACTTTCATTGCTATATACACTGCTGGTCCCTACACTACTAGTAGTATTTTCAATAAGTATATCATTGTGTAAGATAACGGCAACAATTTTAAATATTTGCATTTTAAATTTTAAAATTTCGCCAGATTTTTCTACAGTCCCGTTATTTAATTGAGCATTGCTATAGGACGTTGATATGCTATTGGTAGATGTCGAAGATATATCAGAACTAGATATTTTGTTCTTTTTCATATCGGTATATAAAAATTCTGATTTTTTAAAACTATCTCCTTCAGGACACCACTCTCCATCCTTTTCAACAATGCCAGTCATTTTTGTATTGCAATGTGGATAAGACAACTCAGTTTTAAAATCCGAAAACTTTTTTAACATCTTATCTTTTGGGCGCACATCATCAAATCCCTTCAAAATTCGGGTAAGCAGATGCGTTTGACGAGGGGTGAGCATAAAATAAATATCATCTATTATAACTTCCAGGTTGATTTTTGGACCAACTATATTTTCGGTTTGTTTTACGCTAATTTCAAAATTCTGGCACCCTTTGAATTCCACTATTTTACATAGGCTTCCAACAGATTTGGTGTCTGTCTCCGCAGTATGGCTTTCACTATAAATAAGTTCCGAAGTATGAATCGTTAAGTCATTAGTAACTAAGTTGTGCTTAGCAATCATTGGTAAATATTTCAAATTTGGAGGCTGTTCCGTGCTGTCATCATTGCTTCCAAAGCCTTCATTTGATGATGAATATTTTCCATATCCAGTTTGATTTTTATATTCAACATGCTTAGCTTTAAATGATACAATAAGCTTTTTGTCTGACTTTGGCAGTGTGTATTCGATGTTTATCGTCGTATTGGTTAAGTTTGCATGTATACGATTCAGAACTGAAAAATATATAAATATTTGCAGAATAAATTAATAAAATTTGCATTCTAACAATTTTTTCATTGACAAACAATTTGATTATAATAAATATCAATATGTATTTTAATGGGGCTACTATGATTTTAGTTTCCGCATCACTTCGTCGCTTTCCCTTTGCATTCACAACAGACGTATTTTTCTCGCGATGTTTGACAAATTTTGTGTTTTATCGTTGTTGTTAAATATTTGTTAATTTTTTTTTTGTATTCTTACTCATTCATTTTTCCAGTAATATTAATATTTATATTTCAATTAAATTAAATATTTTTTGATTAATATCATTGACTTTGAGAATAAAAATTAACAGGTTCGTGCAAATAATAATATAGGTTTTGTTTACTACTGGATGTGTGATAATGTCTCACACGAAAGATCAGCCAGCCATAACTACCGTATTATTCACCTGAGTACAAATAAAGTTTAAATTTGCCGTACACAACCTGTACGGATATAATGAGTTTGATGGGACAGATTTAGAAAGGCTTTTGAGATCTACTACTACTTCTCGGTAATCGAAAACGATTTTAAAAAATAAAAACTTTTAAATCATTTGAAGCTGTTTTTCTCTTGATATATAAAAATTTTCGTGCCAAATTGACAAACTAACTAATCTTGCGTCCTTCTAGGTGATGAAAACAACATAATTCCCATAATGTTATTGCTTCTATCGCTGAAAAAGTGCCTGATTTTAAAAATGGTTAGCAACGCTGATGCAAATCAATATAATTTAACCAAAGCAATAACTTCACTGGATGCAACTGCTGCATTTCCTAATATGATCTTTGTTGTTATTCCCTCAAGAAACATATATTTATTTTAGATCTGACCCCTGATTCTACATCTGATGATTTTATTCAAGTCAGATCTAAAGGCAAAGCTGCGGTACAAAAATTCAAATTTTCGTAAATATTTCGATTTTGTACGCAATGTTCGCGTATTAGTATAATATTTTCCAAGGATTCAAATAATCGTATAATTTGCCAAATGCGAATCATGCGGTTCACTTATCTCATATATTATATTATTGCTCACCGTTGTCAATGGTTTCAGCAAACTTTTCCAACCCAATCAAAGCATTGTTGTGATTTAAAAATGGTATGTCATCATCAATTTGCTTCATGCATTCTTCGGCCATTTGCATCGAACTACTAACAGATGACCACATCGACTCCAACATAGTTGTTCCGCTTTGGCAACGCGTAACTGGTCTCAGAGTTATTGTCAAATTTGAGATATTGAGTAAACTGTCGTTGGTCATAAGAGCATTCCATGGAACCATTGCCGTCAAACATCCAATTTGTCCAGAAACCACTTCAAAAGCCCAGCCCTGTCCTTCAAACAATTCGTTGAGAGCCTAAAAATAAACATTGTTAAATATAATTTTAACCATTAAATCAACTTAAATCCTAGAGAGCCCATTTTTGATATGCAGGCGGAAACACAAGATCAAAAGATTGCTTAAAAAGGCATAGTTAGTAATGATACTAATACCTGGTTGAAAAGCAAACACCAATGTGTGGGAGCTAAAATTCACACACTATTAAAAACTATTTATCTGTCCAAATATTTTAGTGCGTAGAAAGTGAACACTTGGTTATACATAATATTTTTTTGTATGCCAAAGTCAAATTTTCTACTTTTCCTCAATTTAGGTATCTGGCATGTTATAGAATGAAAGACATGAGTAAAACTAAGTTATACTTACATTAACTTTAAGTGATATATTTTCCACAACAGCTTTTCCATTGTAAAGATCCACTTTTAATTGTTCCAAGTTGAGATTATTTTCAAAAAACTGTCCCAAATACCTTTGCAGTAGGTACCTGCATGTCTTCGTCTTTAATCCGTCCCACAGATTAAACCACGACATCTTTATTAATTGTCAGATTGAAGTAAAACTTCATGTAGTAAATATTTACACCTTTGTTTTTATTTTCCTTTCATTGGAGATGTGTTGTTGACAACAGGTTATTCGACACGAAATATCGATCAGAAATAATATCGATACGTAAAAAGTACAATATATATCGAACATGGTCGCTCTTCTTCTTATCACACTGAGCAACATCTTGTGGGACGCTTGGGAATTTTAAAATATGTGAAACACTGTTCACATAGGGAAAATTAGCATCAGTATCAGTTCCAGCTATTAAGCCCAATTTACAGATTGACGAAAAATATCGCGTGCGAAATAACAATATATTTCGTTTGACGAACCTAAAAGTAAATAAAAAAGTTTGCTGAGGCAACATTCTATGGTGGTTTGTCGAAAAATATATCATTATTTTGACACCGTCGAACAGCTGTTCACAGAATCCACAGGCCAAAAATTTATGATTGATCTCTGAAAAGTCAAAGGTGGTATCTCTGTGAACGGACAATTTATTATAATATTTCAAAGAAAATTAAAAAAATTTAATAATCTTATACATTCGAAGGTTGTCATTGCAGATCATTTTGAATCTCCTCTTCCATCTGCATCGACAAGCAAATCTTGCATAACAGCAAATCATTAATAGTAACTCCCATTCATGTGAATAGCCTATTCCGAACCTATAAATTAAATTATATTCGATATATCGTTTTGAGCATCGGATGGGGAATCGAATATAGTATCGCATTATCTAAAATATCTGTTGGATGCGATATTTTCTTGTTTTTTACCATACCTAATACGGCCCTATTTTTGTTTTATAAGTTTATACAAGATGGGCAGCAGGTTGTTGTCATTTGTTGCGAGTAACTGGAAGACTTCTGCATTAAGACTTGGAAATCATGTAAACTTTCTAAGCGTTCCATCAACATTTTTGTTTTCCCGAAATACAAGCTTTTTTAACAAATGTAAGTACACGTGCTATGAATAACGCTTGTGATCATGTAATATAGCTACAGCACATCACGACTACATCCCTAATGATATATGTATATATAAGAGAGCCATCAGTTGTTCCTTTGAAACTTATACGTTATATAAATCATCCGTTTGGATAATTTTGTTATTCATGTCTGATGTTATGGGAAAAGTTTAAATTGGTGAATGTCGCTGAAAAGTTGAAAACAAAAAAAAAGGAATGCAATCAGAACAATTGGTAAATTTTTGTGGACTGCGATTAATTAGCATATTCTGATGTTGATATTTTTTTGCCAAAATATCAGGAGCATTTAACAGCAGATTAATCTGAGATGACTACAACTTGAACTAGTGACATATTATTTGATTTAATCTCATTTCGCGCTATCCGCTTTTACTTATTTATTTACAATAATAATCTTCAAAAATGAAAGTAAAACAAATTTATTGACTCGAGACACATGAATGAAAAAGTAAATCCTCGGACGTAAAACTAGGTATAAATTTAACTCGGGTATTATACTCGACTGAGCCACCTTCAAAACTATACTCACAGAAACACTTAAACCTGTCCGCACAATTACTCATAAAAGCGTTCACAAAAATCATAATGCAATAATCAGGCTTATGGTTGGAAATCTGTCAAGGACATGAATAATTGAATATCAAGCTAGAAGACGACTTAAACAATTTCGCCCAGAACAACTCGCTTCACGAACTGCTGTTCCTAGACGACCACGCACTGCCACACGCCCTTTCAAAGCACTCAAGTCTCTCAATACTCTTTGGTTCCAATTACCCAACTAATCTCCTCCAAGTAAACAAACTCTTACCATATTAATATAACCTAATCGGACATGTTTTGAATTGAGATTGCAACAATATACATATCCATCCCTATCATCTTTTATTATATGTCTAGCTCTTATAGTCTCTGACATCTATTTGTTCATACAGACAGTCTTAACTAGATCAAATCGGCTGTTGATAATGGGGTCGGACATGCTTTTTTTAAATTGCATACCTATGTATATATTTATTATTTCCTTTGTTATCCATTTTTGAACAATTTTAGGTATAAAAACAAAAGGAACACTTTTCAGGTGGACCTCAGTCCACCTGCTGACATTTTTAATTTAAAAAACTGACCGAGCTATATGATATATGTATTTTCAAAACTAGAACGATCTAACCCATTTTTTAAACTTTTGTATTGTACCATTACCGGTAGCGCACCGTCAAAATTAGGGGACCAATATGTAACCGTAAGATAATATGTGAAGTGTACTTTGCCAATCACTTACATTAAATAAGTGAGGTTTCCCCTGCAGGATTTATTTTCACCATTTTAAGTGCGCGTTGCTTTCTTGCACCAATGGTTTACTATTAAGTCTAGTTTTGCTCACGAACCTACTTAGTAACCCACAACCAACTAAGCTCTAAGTACAAATTACCAAAGCTAGACCTATTCTCCAGAAGTAATGACCAGCTGCCTCGTGGTGCGTGTTATGATGGTACCAACATTTTGGGAAATTAGAACACACTGCTATTTTTAAACCGAAAAACACTCAAATAATTGGAGTATTTTCGATTTTAGAAATTAAATGTTTTTTCGCTCTAAACTCTTAAGCATCCGGCTTGGATGCAAATATTCGAAATAATAGTGTAATCGAGCTCAAAGCTAATTAAAAATCACGCTTGAACTATCCTTAAACATTGTATTATGTTTTAGTCCGGTGAGCATTGCGATTAGCTGAATAATTCCACATTCTGTATATCCGATTTAAAAGTTCAGACCAAATGAATCTGTGTATTATTAAGTGGATAATTGTAGAGGTCCAAAAAGGTTATGCAAGTATGAAAAGGTATCTTTCAATATGCCATTGTCTTACAGTTGTAGAAAATTAGTGATTAAAATAGGACAAAAACTGAGACGTTTCGCTCTACAAACCGGGTTAAGTGGTCTCCTCTTAATATTTAACATTTCGTTATTTTATTAATCTGCTTTTCTGCCACTACTCCAGTGGCGAAGAGTGTATATCATATTTGTCACGCTGATAATATATTTTATTCCTTAATTATAAATTATATAAACATTAACTACTGTTATTACGTTGTTTAATCGGTAACATATTCTATTTTGTTTTGTAGTACCTGCTGAAGATATATGGCGCGGAGTAACAGCTGTTAGTAATGCTGGTAAAAAAAGAGGACGCGGAAAGGGGACAGGAAGAAAAATTGCGAAGGATCTTAATAGGGGTCAGACAATCGGATTCGGAAAGAAAAGTTTAATATGGCCAGGTTTAAATACACCGATTCTACGCGGAAACGAACTTATTCAGCAGCAAAAACAATCGGAAAACTTAGATAGAGAAAAAAACATAATTAGTTTGCGGGACTCTGTTGGTAATTTTAAACAAACCAAATTAAACTCAATTGATCGAGGATGGTCTGGAACAAAAATGCCAGGCCGCAGTACTGGTCCGCCGGATGCTGTCGGGGAGGATGCATTTAATTCATTTGACACGCGTGTGTTGGAAAATAAAATTGTTTTTATTATGAAAGGAAATATGGGAAGAAAGCGAAGATATTCGGTTTTATCTGTCACTGGAAATTCGAATGGATTGGCTGGTTTTGCAACCGCTAAAGCTCCTGAAGTTCGAACCGCTCTTCGGAAATCCAAAAATCGAGCAGGACAAAAACTTATAGCCATAAATCTTTATGAAAACAGAACGATTAATCACGACTTTTACACTGGTTTCGGAAAAACTAAAATATTTGTTTTTAAGAAACCAGAGGGTCATGGTTTGGTATGTCATCGGGCTATACAAACTATATGCAAGGTGATCGGAATAAAGGACCTGTATGCGAAAATTGAGGGGTCAACAAACCTACAGCATATTGTTAAAGCATTTTTTATCGGACTTATGCGTCAAAAGTCGTATCAAGATATAGCTAATGAATCAAGTTTGCATATTGTTGAACGTCAAATGGCAAAAAACGGATTGACGGAAATAAAAGCAAGTCCTCTATTCGATACGAAAACTGCAGGAAAAGATCGCATAATATATTTTATGCAATTCACCTTGGGAAATAAAATTGTATTAAGAAAAAAGAGAATACCGCCTTTCTATGTAAATTCTAAAGGCCATAATTTATATGAATTAAAAACAGAACGATTTCGAAACCAATCAAATGTACGTCTACACAAATTAGTAAATTCTTATGAATAAGCTATAAGCTACCGATTGTAGTACGACTTGTTTTTATTTATGTATTTAGATTCGCACATCTTTGTGCATAAGCAATAATAACAAATAAAATGTAACTTAATAAAAAAAATAATACAACAAGCAAAACATTGTAATATTCTTATTTCGATCAGGCTCGATTGAATATTGACAGAATAACAATTAAATATGTGTTATTCTACATTCTATTTTTTCTCGTAAGATATTCGGAAATATTTCAAGTATCTAGGCAAGCACCCCCTTTTACTTGTAATTTTTTTGTACGCCATAGAGTCAACCTACCAATAGCAATAAAATCCACAATTATCAAGATATAACTTTTCTATATGAATTCACTCTGGTATAACGTTAATCAACTGTGAAATTTTAACAAACTCACTTTGTAAGCATGCATTTACATATGGAACATTGAAGAACATTTTTGTGCTCATCTGGGAGAGAATTGCCTCGCTGGAAAGTGCATCAGTTCCTTCTCTACCTCATTCGATGCTTGAACTTTGAAATATATCCTTTGACTAGGCAGTAAAAAAGGGTATTAATCCACTCCACAAAATACTTGGTAAGTTTGACATATTAAATAACAGAGGTGTTACAAAATTGATCTGATATTATTCCTTATTTTTCAATATGTCTGTAAATCAGTTGTCTGCCCGCTCAGCATGGCTTCATTACAAATTGCCCAAAACCAAACTAGTCCATTTTTGATCACTCACAATGCGTTTTTCACTCAAATTCATTTTTCAAACCGATGAAAAGAAAACATTGTTAAACAAGAGAGAGCGTCGATGTCAGCCGTAACCGACTGCGAAATACTCTAATACTAATAAGAATACCATAATTTTGTGACTATAACCTTAAGTGGATTTACTGATGTGTGATCATTCAGTAGTAGTAGCAAACCAATATAAGCACTTTGCCTGACGAGAGTTTCAAGGCTCTAGCTATAAGGGTGTCACACGGACGGACAGACTGAATGACGGACATTGCACAAACCCAATATACTCTAAATATCTTCAGTTGTCACAGGATAAAAACTGTATATAAAAAACCCACGACAAAGAGTAGCATCTGGACGAATGCATGGAATTTTTCATAGATATGGACCGCTGTTAATAGCCCTACACTCAGAGCAACGTCTTTCATGGGAATTCTTCAAAGATATTGAACGCTGTTATTTTAAAATCTTGCACTTCTCCACAAGGCAACTGCCTTGTGTGCTCAATCTTATTGAGGATCGATAAGCACGGTTTGCCTTCCACCAAGTCAATTTTTCTCGTTTTTCGTCCTGCTTTTTCTCAGTGGCAAGCTTCATTACTATCTATAATAAAATTAGAAGAATTTACACATATACAAGTAATTCAAATAAAAGATAATTTAAATTTACATTTCATATAGATCATATTTAGCTTTCATTTTAAACTGCAAATTTTTTTAAATGAATTCGTCGAGATATTGACAAATTTGTTAGTTTAAGTGTTAACACGCAAGCATGCTAATTGATATTGTTCTGTTTCAGTAATTCCTACCGTTCCAATTTACACAAAACTTCTCGTTTCCGTTCATTACAAATGCCTAACGTTTTTGTTTATTTTTGTTATCTAAAACAGCAAAATATTGATAAAAACGCAATTTTAATTGTGTGAGCTACACATATATTCAAGAATTATATTATTTCCTTGGAATGCTACGAGCATTAAATACGATTCTTATTTTAGACGCAAGTCAACTCGAGTTTTGGCTGCAGATATGACAGAAAAAAGCCCAAAAAAGGTATAAAAGGTACTGCATTTTAAAATTATGGATATTTGTGATTGAAACTAGATAGTGTAATAATAATTAAATTATTGAAATTATATTTCCGCAGGTGATGTTCGATTAAGGGACAAATAGAATGAAAAAGCAATGTGTTCTATATGCTATTGTTCCTTTGTGTCCAGTATCTGTTCAGGTCATAAGTTATCGATATAAACGAAACTCCAAAAAGATCGACACTATCGAGGTTTGCACAGCTCTAGCCAAAGGCGTCTACCGACATATAAAGGTGATAGAGAGCTGTTTGCGAAAAATATAACATTTTCGTGTTAAAATGGGATCTATATCGGATTTTGGTCAAATAGCGCTGAAATGGGACCCAAAAAATTTAGAAATCCGTACCATGTCAGTGGAGAAGACTTTAGAGCCCTTGGTGTTGCAAGTGACAACGCTCGTGAACACCAAAGGTCCGAGCAAAAAGAAAAAAGGTGAGGCATTAATTGGAAAGTGGGTTTTCAGCACGTAAATTAAAGATGTATTAAATTATCATTATGCATTATTTTTTGGATATATATATATATAAAAGTACCTACGAATTCGTAAACATACATATACATTTAAACATATTTGTAACTTCACTTTTCGGTACACAGCGTTCTACTACTACATACAAATCAGATATACACACATGTGTGTGTATCTGTATCTAATGTAATGCTGTCTTCAACTTCACACAATGCGCTTACTCAAATTGCCTTTTGAGTTGTACATCTTTAATGAGCATAATGTTAATATCCACATAATGTTAATATCCACATTAGAAAAGTATTTGATTGGTTTTTATTTTGTTCATGACCTTACATCGGTCTAATTAGTGCCCGAAGTAGAACAATTGCCGCTTAGGCTTTTATAATGGATTTTGCACGGTAAAAGGGAAAACATACAAACAAACAAAAATACATTTCGATCTGTTAAAAAAACTAGAAAGAACGGTTATCCTTGGCACGCTAAAGATTACATATTGTATACCGGAGTTAATCTGCTGAAATAAATTTTAGTCTGTAGCTCGATGTAACTATATCCGTCTGTCTGTTTCTCTATGTAAACTAGTCCCTCAGTTTTGAAGTTATCTTGAAACTTGGCACGTATCCGTCTATTTGATGCAGGCTGACAAAGTAATATAGCTCTTATGCTATTCAATTAGATCATGATTTGTATAATAAAAGACATACTTTTAAGATCCAAAGAATTATATATGTATTATATTAAAAACAAATGTTTGGATTACATGAGGGGAGCCTAAAATGTAGTGTTCTCCTTACGATACAAGGACTAAAAATGTCTACAAATGATTTTGTTTTATTTTGTATTTTTCACATTTTTTAAGTTTATATTATTTTCAAATACCTCAAACATAAAATGTTCATGGTTTTTGGGCTTAAGGGGTCTTGGTTTAGGTCTTCATTTTTTTTATAGTGATCCAACTAGGTACGTCGTCGAGTCCTGAGTGACCTAGAATATCATACCTAGAATATAGAATAGATCGGCATATGCCATGCCCACCACCGCCTCTCGTCCCTAAAAATGGGTATATCTTTTGCAGTTTTAAAATTAGAGCCGTGAAATGTGGTAGGGAAATTACTGTTAGCCGCCTTTAAGAATCAATGTAAATTGATAAAACCGCATATCTCCCACAAATTTAAAGTTAGAGTCAATCTTGGAAAGTAACTTACTGATAACTTCCTTCAAAGATCGGCAAATACATTAACAGAACGTGCACGCCCGAGGAACTTCGGTCAATAAATGTCGAAAGTAACTCCCTTAAGAGATCGATAAAAAATTGAATGGCCGACTCCTCCCAAAACGGATACACTTCTTAGTGTAAATCGAAAAAACTATTTATCTTACCATTTGTAAGCTAGTCTCCAAATTTGAAAGGTATAGTGTTAGCAACACCATTCAAAAATCCGGACCACGCCCGCTCAAGCCCCCAAAAACTATAAAAGCCTAAATTTCCCGAAATTTAAGAGCAACAGTTGCCAAACTTGGAAGTTGGATTGCTACGAAACTTGTCTAATATTTTTTACCACAAATTTAAAGGCTAACTTGAAGGATAGATTACTAGGAACCTTCAAAGATCGGTATTTCTTGGCTACACCCACCATGTTCTGTAGCTCCTGTTATCAGATGGTTTGGCTTGTTGGTATCGGAGTATTTCGCAGTCTGCAACGTTATCTCTTGCTTATATTAAATCAATTAAATTCACAATTTGAATATAATGTTTGATCATTAATAATTTGAATGAGTTGTCATATATATAACGAAACTGCGCTCTTTGCGAACTTTTTCCCAAAAATACAATTTTTCTGTCAATTTTCTCTTCTTAACTTCCAAGTGCTACGACAACAGCTTACACGGAACTCCAAGCAATTTTATAATATTGCCAATTCGAAGCGCAAATCGTCATCTTTGTCTTCCTCTCTTTTTCTACTCTTCAAAATGTCCTATTCTCATAATATTTAATCTACTAACCTTATATTCGCTCCCACTAATTCTTATAATTATTGTATCTATTTATATCTATAATAAAATCAAGTTTTGGGAATTAAATCTTTTTTCTCTTCTGAGACTGACAACTTCCCCAGTTGTATGTTTACCATGTGCCTTAATTTATTGCCACATCAATTGCTAACGCTTTTTAAGTTATCCCAGTCTTTGCATCCTTATCATTTTTCTCTGCAAAAAAATGGCAAATCTGATTTTTTAAACAACAGATGCATGGATAAGTTATCTACCATTTATAAGGTATTTGAAAATATCCGTATTTATACTTTGCAATATCTATAAATCAGTTATATCCTCTGATCATTATAGCTGCATGAAGAATCGATCTTCATGAACCAATTTGCTTGAATTAAGTTTTCTTGTTATATACACTGATGTTTGATGTTATATACACTGACTTCAGTAAAGCATTCCATTCAGTTAACTGTGGAAACACGCTTGATTTCTATGGATTCCGTCCATCGTTTCTGTCTTGGATATTCTTTTATTTAAATGGTCGATTTTAATTCAAGATCACTCTGATATTTTTCTATTCACTTTTTCATTAATGGCCTCCCATTAATCTTATTTCGTCCACTTATATATGCTAGCGATGTGAAACTAATTTATTTAGTCGTACTTATAATTGTTTACATATTGTTTTAAAATCTGTGCAAATTTGGTGCTTGGCCAACCAGTTGTATCTAAATTATTCAAATTATTGAAAGTTTTCCATTGTAACGTATAATTACTGTTGAAGATATTGCAGTTCTCTTTGATACCAAACTGAGCTTTAGACTCTATGTGTCCACATTTCATAATGCGGTCAAGTTATTTGGCCAACAGAATTTGAAAACCCTTCCAATAACACATTTCTTCATGTCCATCCGAGCTTTCATGCTTATGTGTTTGGTGGACTCCGTGTCTATCAAGATCAAATTGTGTGCGATCGGAAGCAATTTCTTCACATAACTTATTTTTCCTTGTAAACCAGTTTATTTATTAGACTTATGCACGACTATTTACGTGTTGCACAATCCTACTGGTGTTATATGTAAATCTTACAATGGTTTAATAGGCATTTTAATTTTTAGAGATACATTTTTTTAAATTATTTTTAAATATTATTGTAATGCTTATTAATTTTATTTTTAGCTTTCCAAATATATTTTATAAATTTCATTATCGATGTGCACATCGAACAGAGTCCAACTGTTGACATTTAAATTTCATTATAAATTAAAAAAATATATATTTTCTATGATGATTTGATGTCTGATGCATCAAGTATGTATAATTGTATACTGTTACAATGTATAAAATTCACTCTTAATGTGTACTAAAAAATTAACGACTAACTCTGACAGCTGAGATATTGGCTTATGGTGGTATTATAAGTTAAATTTCCAATTTTAGGCTGAAATCCGTAAAAATACAAGACTAAGCACTACATCCTTATCTTTTAGCTATTTATTTGTCCTATTTATATTAATATCCTTACTATGTATTTAATATTTTTAGGAAAATCAAAGCGTGCAAGTGCGCTGGTTGCAGCTGTTGAGAAAGCCACTGAAAACTTTATTCAGAAGGGAGAGCAAATTGCATATGAAAATCCGGACATAACCCAAGAAATGCTGTCTGCCGTTGACGAGGTGCGCAAAACAGGAGATGCCATGAGCATTGCAGCCAGAGAATTTTCAGAGGACCCATGTAGCTCCTTGAAGCGAGGGAACATGGTTCGAGCAGCTAGAAATCTTCTCTCAGCTGTTACACGTTTACTAATCTTGGCAGATATGGTTGATGTTCATTTGTTGCTTAAATCTCTTCACATTGTTGAAGATGATCTTAATAAGCTAAAAAATGCATCTAGCCAAGACGAACTTATGAACAACATGCGGGTAAGGGCATATAATTAATTTTAATGGAATTTTTACATTAATGCTTACCTGTTAATCCAGCAATTTGGTCGCAACGCTGGAGAACTCATAAAACAAGCAGCAAAACGTCAACAAGAGTTAAAAGATCCGCAGCTGCGGGATGATTTAGCTGCTGCTCGTGCAATGTTAAAGAAACATTCAACAATGCTGTTAACCGCATCTAAGGTCTATGTTCGACATCCAGAGCTAGATCTGGCCAAAGTCAATCGAGATTTTATTTTAAAACAAGTGTGCGATGCCGTGAACACGATCAGCGATGTAGCCCAAGGAAAATCATCACAGCCCACTGATGTTTACAGTGGCGCAGGAGAATTAGCTGCAGCCTTGGACGATTTTGACGTGCGTTTAAATACTCTAAAGAGAACATTTGTTTTCTAGCTGAAGGTTTTATTTAGTAAATCGTATTTGTGTATAAACCTTTTAGGAGGGAATTGTAATGGATCCCATGACGTACAGTGACAAACGGTCACGGCAACTTCTCGAAGAACGTTTGGAGAGTATTATTAGTGCTGCAGCCCTGATGGCCGATGCAGACTGTACAAGGGACGAGCGCAGGGAGAGAATTGTCGCCGAATGCAATGCTGTTCGCCAAGCTCTACAGGATCTGCTATCTGAATACATGTCAAATGTAATTTATATTGAAGCCAGAAATCGAAATATGTAATTTTCAACAAACTTATATTATTTTAGATGGGTCAAAAAGACAACAGCCCCGGGCTAGATCGTGCGATTGATCAAATGTGTCGCAAAACGAGAGATTTGCGACGGCAGCTTCGCAAGGCTGTTGTTGATCATGTGTCTGATTCGTTTTTGGAAACAACTACGCCTTTGATTGACCTAATTGATGCCGCCAAATCTGGAAATGAAAAGAAAGTACGTGAAAAGGCTGAGATATTCACGAAGCATGCTGAGAAATTAGTTGAAGTTGCTAATCTCGTGTGCAGTATGTCAAATAACGAGGACGGAGTAAAAATGGTTCGATATGCTGCGGCCCAAATAGAAAGCTTATGCCCCCAAGTAATCAATGCTGCATCAATACTTACGGTGCGACCAAACTCTAAAGTTGCCCAAGAGAACATGGCAGCTTATCGCCAAGCTTGGGAGGTGCAAGTTCGGATATTAACAGAAGCTGTGGATGACATTACAACCATTGACGACTTCTTAGCCGTTTCTGAAAATCATATCCTAGAAGATGTCAACAAATGTGTCATGGCTTTACAAGTTGGCGATGCTAAGGATCTGCGTGGAACTGCTGGATCTATTCAGGGTCGTTCGTCTCGTGTATGCAATGTTGTTGAGGCTGAAATGGACAACTATGAGCCATGTATTTACACAAAGCGAGTCTTAGAAGCAGTTAAAGTGCTTCGCGAGCAAGGTTGGTATTACCATATTTTGAATCCTCAATATCGAAGGTATATTGGTTTCGTGCAATGTTCGTCATTCTGTCTGTATAAACATTTGTGTCTCCGATTACAAATATTGTCTTATAGTGTGAACCGATAAAAACCTTAATGTTCATCATTTAATAGAAAAATCCAAATATATATTTGATGCGATATACCTCTTTAAAATCTTAAAATATAACACAATTTCAAAGCTAGGTTCAACATGTATAAAACAGTCTGTGTCGTTCGGCTGCAACGTGCACTTTTATACTCTGTCAGAGGATATTATAATTTTGTAAGGTATTGATATATATAGTCTCAATCATCTTTACTATCCAAGTCGATATAGCCATGTCGGTCTGTCTGTCCATCTTAATGAAACTGAATGCATATATCCGTTGCAACATCGGAACATCGAATGATCAGTTTTTGTATTAAAATCTCTTGTTTACTAAGATATCTATCCCATACTCTTTAACTGCAAAGAACGGGTTTATTTGATTGCTTCCAACTACTAAATCATATAACTCATGTAACTCGTTTTTATATCGATACAAATTGATAGTAGTTATTGTATTGCTAGCAGTATTTATTGACGATATATTTGCATATTGTGAAATATTTAAAATTCTTGATTGATGCGTTTAATTAGTAATAAGCACTGTCAAAAAAACTGTTAAAATATGATGAACCATCTATTATTATTCTTTAATATTTTAGTGATGATCAAATTTGAACAACGAGTTGATGCTGCAGTGGAAGCCCTGGCTACCAATACAAACAAAAATGTGGACGAGAATGATTTTATCGATGCCTCCCGTTTGGTATACGATGGAGTGCGTGAAATTCGACGTGCAGTATTAATGAACAGGGTAAGAATTTTATAGCAACTTAAAAACTAGTCTTGTAAAACATTTCCGGGTGACATATTTCTGAAGACAGTTGCCTTACAAATCTTAAAAAAAAAAAATTTACTGGTCTACAAGAGACTTGCCAAAGATAATCATTCTTTCTTGTATTTAGTTAAAATTAAAAAAATTAATTGCATTGTTGTGTCTTAAATATTCTATGTTTAGCTTAGCTGTGAACTCTAGCGTTCCATCTATCTTATTTGATGGATTTGAAAAATTAATTTTGATTAACTAATTAATCAAATAAAGATCATAAAACAGAGTACGGGGAAAATAAAAATAATTAACTTTTTTTTTAAATACTTTCATCCCTAGTGTTTTCACTAAATTAAAAATTCATGAGATTTGGGTTACAATATATTTCTTAGCACCCGTTAAAAACCCATTTACAGTTGTGGTTTATTTTTTCCTAAAGTTACACATAATAAATCATTTGATAACAAGCACTCGAGACGAATGAAAGCGAAAGCTTTTAAATATTTATTTGTCATAGATTAGTTTATGTTTTCCATACTTCTTAATCATTTTTCGTGTTTGTACTCTGATTCCGAAGGTTTTATGATTATGATCTGGTACCGATTGTATAAGTGCATATATGATTTGTCCCTAGAGTTAGAGAAACTTGGATCATATATTCGTGAATGCGCTCGTCAGAATATTTTTTTTAGAATTTTGTTGCAACGTTAACAGGGGCCTGAAAATCGAAACAATTTATCACCAAATTTGTTTAGTATCTTGTTGACGATGTCTCTTAAGGATCAGCACCAGGCACGCCCGGTGTTCGTAGTTCGAAAAATGATTGTGTACAGGGAAAACAAATTATTTATACAACAATAGAATATAAAATAATTTAATGTTTTGAATTTTTAACTTTTACATGTTTCATCATTCTTGTTTTCATTTCAGAGTTCAGAAGACTTGGACACGGATACTGAGTTTGAACCAGTCGAAGATTTAACATTGGAAACACGCAGTCGATGTAATTATATTGTTTATTTATTTTTTTCATGTCGTATAGAAAAGTTAACAACTAAATTAAAAATGGGCAAAGGAAAATCTGTGGTCATTAAATATGCGCTATAAGCGATACACAAAATTGGAAAGTAGTTTGCTTAATGGCTTAAACCGACTGCACTATTTTTACCTTTAAAATGGGTACCTGTAGAAGGAGACATTTGGCCGAGCTATTATCATAATTAAGTCGACAAAGGCCGGTTTTGAATAGATTTTAGTTGATCGTCTGACTAGATAATTAAAGGTTAATTTAGTACAATAAGGATAATAAAACTCTTAAGCTCACCGTATACTAAAACCAAGGAATCCTTTAGATTTATAAATTATGATACAATTACGAGGTTTGAAGCAAAGGTTAAAGTGCTTAACCTTGATACGATCAAGAAGTACGTGTTTAGTAGAATAGATAGTAATGAGCAATATTACATTATATTGAAAAGAGTAAAGAATTATAATTTTTGTTTGAGATTTTACTATAAACTCGTTAGTTTAGAAGTTTTAAGTTTCTTTTGTATATAGGTATGTTTTTATATTTACTTTATTAACTTATCCAAACTTTAGCTATGCAATTTTATAATATTTCTTAATTTTCGATATAAATGAATTATATTTATGCTAAACCACTTACAGCAAGTGCTCATACTGGTGACCAAACAGTTGACGAATATCCGGACATAAGCGGCATTTGCACTGCTAGGGTAAGTGTACAATGTAACAATACTGCAGCACTACCTATATAATTTTTTAATTATTAGGAAGCAATGCGTAAAATGACAGAAGAAGATAAGCAAAAAATTGCACAACAAGTGGAGCTATTTCGACGAGAAAAACTCACTTTTGATTCAGAGGTTGCTAAATGGGATGATACTGGAAACGACATCATTTTCCTGGCAAAACATATGTGTATGATAATGATGGAGATGACAGATTTTACAAGGTATTTCTTTACATATTCTATTATTATCTAACAACTTTTCCCTTAGGATCGTCGAGAAATCTTGGCAAGCTATTTGCCATTGACCATATAATTTATATCATAACATAACAGCATATTTGAAGCAATCAAAGATACATTGGGCCTAAATATAATTAAATAAAATACTTATCAAGTGTTCAAAATATCGAAAAGCGATCTAGATTTGTGTCAAGATGAAATTCAAGCTCAAGCGCAGCGCCACAAATCAATTTGGTGACTATCTCTTAAATTATGAAGAACAAGAATGTTTTTATGGCGGCCGCATGAGTGGGTTCATACAGCGTGAAGGACATTTTATTTACTTTAATGATAAATGCTAAAGACTACCTTATTAGGCTGAAGTCTTTGAAATTCTTTTACTTCATATTTTTGTATTTTAGTTTATTAATGAATTGCTTTAATATTTAAATTTTGTAATAAGTAAGACAATTTGATCAAAAGTATTTGTGTATTATTTTAACAACTTTTAGAGGACGTGGCCCCTTAAAGACCACCATGGATGTTATCAATGCCGCCAAGAAAATATCCGAGGCCGGCACTAAACTTGATAAGCTTACGCGTGAAATAGCAGAGCAGTGTCCGGAAAGCAGCACCAAAAAAGACTTATTGGCATATTTACAACGTATCGCTCTCTACTGTCATCAAATCCAAATAACTTCTAAAGTCAAAGCAGATGTCCAAAATATAAGCGGGGAACTGATTGTCTCGGGGGTAAGCATTGCGTTAGAGTTCATTTTTTGTTTTCAATAACGTATTTTATTTAATCCTGCAGCTGGATAGTGCTACTTCTTTGATACAAGCAGCTAAGAATCTAATGAATGCCGTAGTACTGACAGTGAAATACTCTTACGTAGCGTCAACAAAATATACTAGACAAGGAACTGTAACTGTAAGTATATCAATATCGCCTTTTATTTATTTTTTGTATATTTGTAAAATCCGGCTGTCAAAAAAAAAAGCGTAATTATTTTTCTTCTGTTCAAGATGTTTTTAAATTATGTGCCTGCAATTATTAAGCAGCAAACTTGTAACAATTGAAATATTATTTAAAGAGACATTAAAAATTTAAATATTCTTGATATTCAACGCTATTTTTCTTTTCTTAAGTCTCCAATTGTAGTATGGAAGATGAAAGCACCAGAGAAAAAACCACTGGTGCGACCTGAGAAGCCAGAAGAAGTTCGTGCTAAAGTTCGAAAAGGATCGCAGAAAAAAGTTCAAAATCCAATACATGCTCTATCTGAATTCCAAAGTCCTGCTGATGCTGTGTAAGGGATTTAACTTCGAATTATAATATTAAGTATTATATACCTAATTAATAATATACTCGTATATTGGTATAAATGAACTGCCGAACGGGCACAGTTTATTATTAAATAAATATATTCTACGATAGGCTCGTAATATATATGAGTTTTACTTCATATTTCTGTCTGCGAATAGATATTTATTAAATCATACATGAACTTTGTAATTTTGGCTGCCGACAGCTACAACAGCCGAGTTGAATAATATTTTCATTGCTATAAAATCAACGATAATGAGTAGTATAGATTTATATTTTTTAATACATAACTACCGAGCTCAGCAGCTAGGAGTGTAGTATGCTCCCAACATAATTATATATAATGATTGCTTCCACAGGAAACTAACATTCACATCGACTCTATAAGATCAAGGAAAACCAGAGAATTGCATGCTGGTATTCGGGATTTAAGTATTATAAGTTTAAAATAAGTTGCATTACGATGAGATTCAGTGAGTTTTTAGCGTGATAGTGGAACTACGTGAGAGCAGTGGCGTAGTGTATCCTTAATTGGTAACTTCCCTTTTTAAATTTGTAACACAATAAGAACAGGCAAATTAAATGGAACTGTTTGAGACTGTGTGCTTGATGGCAACGATTAATATTCCAAAGTTAAACATTTTCCATTATTTCAGAAAAAACGATTAAACTATTTTTTAGGATATAACTTCCTTTTTTTTGTATTTAACCACAATATCTATATCGGTACGGTATTGAATTATTTTGAACATTGAGGTGGCAGTAGGTGGACTGAGTTCTGCAAATGTCTGTTGTGTTCCGCAAGATCAGTACCCTAAACCCATTTAAAATGGATAAGAAGTTGTGCAAACGTATGCACCTTGTAGATGAAAGCATCTCCGACCCCATGAGGTATATTGTTAAATAGGATCAAAAGCCGAGTCGTTGCCATGTCCGTCTGCATGAAGATCTATGACAGCCAGAAACTTCAAAATTGGAATATTGGTTCTTATGTGCTTGCCAGCTTGAACAATGACACAAACACGTATATATCCAGACAGTTATTATCAAGCTTCCGTCGGATAGCTCATTGAAGTTGATAGCCGCGGAAAGGAGGAAAGTAGCGCCGATGCGGCGTTTCAAATGCTCGGGCATGTGGCTAATATTTTAAAATTGAACACGGAGACAACACCCACCTTTAATAGAGAAAGCCGAGCTCATTCATATACCTGACGTTTGCCAGCAACAGTCTTGTGCCCCATGTGACATTCGGTACCCAACAAGAAGTCGACTTCACGTACAGCGACCACCGTGACATCGTTACGCCCACATGCTGCAGTATGTATGGATGTTATCTATAGAACAGAGACGATAGATAGAGAAGCCTTCAGCTGAGCAAATGGCGGCCTCAATTATGATGCGAATTACGGGTGACGCTGCAAAAAATCCAGAACGGGATCTCGACGCGGTGCTCCTGTCTCCTGTTAGAAATATGGTACAACTATAGCACGGAAATAATACTTGGATGCCAGAAAGAAATACCAAACGTCACTTAAAAGGGACAGCCATAAAAACTAGCTTCCTATCTACAAGAGTAGAAATATCGAACAGCTGGCGAAACTGCGGACTCAGACCCGTGGGGTCTAATATACAATGATGAATAGCCCATACGCATTTAGATCATGCTCCACGAGGAAAAGTCTTCTTAGGCAAACAGTATTAGAGTTGCTTCCCCAACGGAGCTGCCTGTCAACGTAACAGAAACGCTACAACCGGTGTCCACTGAAGATCTGTACTGCTACTCGAGCAAGGTCCATAGCACCGGACAACTCTCGCATGCAGAATACTTCAATAAGGTTTTCAACAAGTGCCTGAATGAGGGACTGTTTTCTACTCGTTGGAAACAGCAAAATCTGACACCAAAGGGAACTGATCGCCCTATACGCTTGCTTGATTTGGTAGGCAATGCGTTCGACAGACATGGAGCAGTGATAGACGCAGATGGCCTCTCCATTAACGAATTCGGGTTTCAGAAGGCATGATCTACGATAGACGCCATTGATACGTTTGCAAAACGTGCCTGGAATATCATAGAGGGTGGCAGATGGCTAGGTGGTAACTCTGCGAAATGGACCCACTAATATCATTAGGTATACCACCACACTTAATAAGGATTATTGACAGCTACTTCAATAACAGGAAGTTACGATACTTTTACCTAACCCAATTTCTGACTGGTCACTGGTGCTATCCCTCGTACCTCCATAGATTTAGACATGGTGCAAGCCCCATGTGCACACTATGTAATATGAATGTTATTGGAGATGCAGAGCACGCAAAGAAGCAGATACCAAGAAAATAAGGGTGGATATGCTATGCCACAAAGAATATTGGGAGAAACAAACGCAGGAAACGGGATCGACGATTATTTCTGATTCCGATTCTGAATTTTAATCGATAAACATGCGGTTCCGTTGCCAATTTTATTCTGGTAAAAATACTATTAATTTGTAGAGCAAACTTATTGTTTATAGTAATTCAATTAAATGCTTTTATTTATGCCGTAAAAATTACACGTAAATTAACACTCTCTGAAAATTAGCAATATCAAATACTAAAATATTAATTATTAAATCGCACAGCTATTCCATATCAAATATTAAAATATTAATTATCATTAGATAACAACTTTCCCAAAAATTAAGAGTTCAACGAATTTATCATCGGATTAAAAAGTTTCCTGGTCGAAAGATGAAATTTGTATGAAAAATTTTGATTTGAAAAATATTTATTATTTTGGTACTCACAAGTTCCCGAGTTTGAGTCTACTAATAAGCATTGCAAAACTGGTTGACTGACTTATGAAGAAGATCATTTTCGATTGATGGACTCCATAGGCATTGAGAGACCGAAGTTATGGTGAACATATAGAACTTGAGATATCCCATGGAAGTGTCAAGCAGGGAAATAATATTTTCATTGCGCTTCAAGAGGCATTTCTGTTATCAGACAATTTGTACTCAAAATTTTTAAAATATACTCTATCTGTTCGGATATCAGTCAAAGTCAATATGAGACAACAACCACAGGGCAATAGCGAGTCTTCTGCGATATTTGTGCAACTTGGGTACAAGATCTCCCAAGAGGCTTTTTAAGTCATCTTCTGCCCAAACAAAGCGCGGCGAGCAGCATATAGCCGCAAGAAGTACTTCGGACTTATCACTCTAGACTTTATGCGAAAACTTAATAATCGATATTTGAAGGATAAGCATTATTTTACTTTATTTTATCGATTTTTTATCGATTGTTGATTTGCCAACAGATACCAAATTTGTGTATTTTTAAAATTAGCAACGTGGCAAACTTTATAATCAAATAATTAAGAGTTTTCCAATGTTTTCGAAAGCATATATATACTTATTTCTTAGATATCCGTAGTTTCTAGAGATCAATCGAATGCGTCTACGTAAAGTTAGGATAGAGGGTGTGTTAAGATAAAAACAACAGTTTTAACAATTTTTCGAATTGTTTGTGGAGCTTTATTTTATAAAAAAAGGTTAATTGAATGGTGATGTCTGGTAACACCAACGTCCTGATTTCAGTCACGAATTTTAACTGTAAAATCGAGATGATGATAAGATCAAACATCTAGCGACACGATATCAATACTGAAGCGGTAAGCGATAAATATCTGTACCAAATTGAAGAATGTTCGTACAGGTTTGGTAAAACCCTTTGCACTTGGGTGGTACCTAGCCACCAAGGCAGAATGCTCATCTAAGTCCTAACCGGACTTTGCTCTTGTACCCACCCATGCTAAAAGCGAAAGAGACAGGCTGCTTCAGGTAGGATGGCTAAGAAATCTCTTAAAGCTTGGGACAGATACCTTCGACACTTCGTGGTTTCCCTGTTTGGAATCTCTATGGATGAAATGGTCTGTGTGATGCTATTTTATTTTATTTGATATCTTTATTGAATACTTAGAAAAATTACATGTTTTCAGTCTTTGGAAAAACTCTTAATGGAATTACAGATGACCAGTACTTGAAGACTTAAACTATGAACTGCACATGTTTCAATAAGTGTAAAGTTAACATTTTTTTTCGCTAAAAATGAGAAGATAATATAGCTTTTCACCTTCATTTTGAGTACAAAATATAAGAAACATTTTCTTTATTATCATTTCTATAAGTTGTCTATAATAATTATATCGTTATGTGAAGCACGAAACCAGCTAAGATATTAAAAATTTGTTTCCTTAATATTCGATTATATATTTAAATATGTTTAAGTGTGTGTACATGGATTACTAATAATTCGAAATAAGTCCAGAATATTTTTACTTATACATGTTATTACATAAGGCTTATGGCTACAATAATTTAAGCTAGCAAGAATGCATGTTTTAATTAGTTTTTGTTCCCTCCGAATATTATATTCTTGGTGTCAATACTAAGGGGAAGCAGATTGCAGGTAATGCTACGCTCGCCGGTTGAATCTTAATTGTTGAAAGATCAGCACAGTTTATATTATATTTTTGTATAATATTGGCTAGCAAAACAAATCCAAACCCACGCACTAGATTTTGGCCAATGCAAGTGCGTTTTCCAATACTAAATGGCAAAAAATGAGGAATATTTTTTCTTAATTGAAATTTTCTTGGCTCAGCGTTCACGTGAATAGTTTTTTCATCAATCTTGGTCGTGATATTTGGATTTTCTTCGGAAGAATGATTTAATATCGCTTCCTTTTCAAACTCAATGCCTGAATCTGATTCCTCTGAGCATCTTCTCTTGTTATTACATTTCGATGATATTGACCCAGTGTTCAAGTTTTCTTCTAAAAACCTTTCTGGTTGAAATTGATCAGGATTCTTCCAGTACTTATTGCTCATGTTAAGCACATAATTGTTAACGAATACAATGGTTCCACTAGTAACGCCAAAACCCGATATTTGTGTATCCTCTGTCGCTACATGTGGAACAATTGGAGAAGATGAGTACCGTAAAACCTCGAAAATAGTTGCCATGGTATAAGGCATTTTGTCCATATCAAATAGAGTAATATTACGTTGACCGTTTTTGGATACTAAATCGACTTCACACTGAAGTCTGCTCCCAATAACAGGGTCCTTGGCAATATACGAAAGAGATAACATTACTAAATTTCCTACAGCTGAGTGCCCACCTATAAAATCTTCTAGCATAAAAATAATCGTGTTGCGTGTCACGTTTTTATTTTCTATAAGGCTCTTGAGAAGTACATCTGTGAAGTCGATGTCCGGTCCGTCTAAATCAATGTTTAACTCTCTTTGATTGATAACCCGCTCCAAAATAAATTTACGAATTGTGGTGGACCAATGACATATTTTTTTTGTGTGTTTAGCGTAAAAGGGTAAAAGCCATGGCATAAAATCTAATGCGCACCCTTGATTAATTTCCCAAAAAATCTCATCAAAAAAGTGAACTATTTTTTGAAATTCCTTATCCTCATAGTCGAACCGCATTGAGCACATATATTGACTAAACATATTTGCGCATGCTGTAAGCAAAAGAGGTTTTATATCAAAGGCTTTGCCAGGCTCGATGACCGTTTTCAACTTTTGCATTAAAATAGTAATTTCATTGCATCCAATACGCGACATTTTTTTGAAGTATGATGACGATTCACGTGGGGAGCAGTGTCGTCTCGCTAAATTTCTCCGTTTTTGTTGTAGCAGTGACCAGTCGCAAAGTGCAAGAGCTGTGTAAGAAGGAAAGACATATGGCAAGGATGTAATACATTATTTGTAAAAACATATTTTATAGTGTACATAAATACAGGAATCAGCGTGCTTGCAGCTAAATTTATTTCTTATTTTACGGGATATATATCGAATTATAAATACTTCTCTTGTTGATGGTAGGTTTGATTAATACATTGCGAAAAAACAGTTTCTCATATATAAGTAAATCGATCTGTTCACATTTAACTTGTTTTACCACCAAACAACATGAACCCAAGTCATTATAAATAGTGGACTTCTTAGATATTTAAACTAAGACATAAATTACATAAGGTTGCTTGTCAAATATTAACATCCCTCAACAGTTGATCAATGTTATGCCAAGGTATATTCTTACCGGACGGAAGACTTATTTGGTCTTCATTTCGATCGGTATACGAATATTGTTGATGTTGAGGAAGCTATCGATAAACTAAAATAAATTTGATCTGCGAGTGGTAAAGGAGAATTTATATTCCAAATTTAAAGCTCATTTAATCTTAAGAAATGCAATATTCATTCCATTTCTGATTGGTTCAGGGAAATGAAAGCGTGTGAGGCGATGGCTATGAGCTTGTCTAGGGGGATGATTAACGGAAGACTTCTTCTTAGTTTTGAGGCATGTCTGCCTCTCAAAAGGAACCATAATTGGTCTACGATATTTAAATTAAATTAATTACAACTATTGAATATAAGCTGGATTGTTTTGACTGTGAGAAATCCAGTCTATTGTTATTATTTTTCCAAATTGTGCACTGCAGTTGACAAAGCAGCAAAATTGTTTTTGATCACTGTTTATTTTTATTACATATTCTCACAATTTTCGCTGAAGCATGAATTTTACGACTAATACATGACGGGAAAATCGGAATTAAGTGTGATTGCATCAAATAATTCCTGCCATTCCATTATTGTCAAACCAAAGAGGCCATTTTAAGTTGTATGAATCAAATTGATATTGGCAAGGCGAAAGATCTAGATGGATCGTAAAGAAATTGCATTGAAGATCTTGACTTGGGGGACCATAGTGATTTCTACACAATTTTTTCCATTTTAATTGATAAGTCTTTTGAGGATACCTTAGATCTCTACTTTAAAAGGACAAGAAGGACTTCGCCCAATGTGCAAACGAATGCAGAATAAGAAAGACAAGTGAAGCACCCTCGATATAATACCTCAATGGTCATAACAAAATGGGTTCAGCACAAATTCAAAGCGACTGACTTTGAAAGCGGCAGAATTGTTCGAGGGGCAAAGCTTCAATTCTTTTTTCAGAGACAAATGATGGAAGCAACTTAGAAATTCGTCGGGCAAGCGAGAAAATTAAATCGGTTGGCAACATATCGTACAGCAAAATCCCAATGCCAAAATAATATTCTGTAAAACGTAAGTAAAAATGTTTGTAAAGCAAGACGAACTTTAAGAGTTGCACTGATTTTTGAGCTTACTGGATGTATACTACAGAAGATGGAGAGAACAAAGATTGAAATTTGCCAAGCGTCAGGGAATCAGGTCGAAAATAACGACAGATCAACGGCCCCAAGTCTCAATTCGATATTTCACTGAGCACGAGCGCGCCGAACAACCTACAGCAACATTGTCAACATATGCAATAACGTTGTAGCCACACCACAGGGTTGGGAGAAGTTCGATTATTGCTACGTTCCATAAGAGAGGTGAGAGTACTCCGCCCCTACTGACCTGCATGGCAGTATCTGATCTATATGACTCGATGAAAGATTATCGACCTCCAGGCCTCTCAGTGACTCGGTGATTAAATTAGGGAAGATGTTATTGAAATCGTTGCTGAAAGGTGTTTAGCAAAGGGTTCTTTATATGAACGAAATTATTGAAAACAGTGCTTAAGATATGCCTGAACAAATTAAAAATATATATTTTGATATTTTTTTTATTCTTTGTTTTTTGTTATTGCTATCAAAATTTGTTAAGGAAATTTGATTAATTTAGATTAAAAAAACATATTTAATGTTCAATAATTTCTGATATTTGTTCAGAAAAGTACAGCGCCCCAATTATTAAATATTATTTATTCTTTTCATAAAAAACTGTTAAGTTTAATGTATATTTTTATACTTTGATATACAAGGTATTATATAATGTATGAACGCAACTTTCTTCGGCATCCTTAGAGATAGAAAGTTGAAACTTGGAACATATACTGGCCTGTGCAGGCGTCAGACAAAGTGTAGAAATTGGGGGCCATGAAATCGATAAAGTCGATAATTGCAGATCGATAAAACCACATATCTCCCACAATTTTAAGGCTACAGTCACCAAATTTGGAACGCACGTTGTTGGCGGTGTCCTTCAAAGATCGACATATGCATTTTAACACAGCATTTGAGTTAAAAAAAAAAAATTGGTACGTATATTACTGGTAGCCGCCTTTAAGAACAGATGACATTATTACATCCAGTTCCATACCTGCGTTCATAATCGCTCAAGCCGATATTTCGGAAAGTTTAAGTCGATAAACCCGTATATCTCCCACAATTTCAAAGATAGAGTGACCAAACTTGGAAGGTAACTTGCTGGTTACCTTCTTCAAAAATCATATAATAGATCGATAAAAAAATTGGATGGCCATGCCCACTCTGCCTCCTCAAACCGATACACCTGTTAGTGTAAATCGATAAAATAATGTTACCAAACTTGATGGGAAGATTACTAGGAATCTTCTCTATATTTTTTCAGCCACACCCACTCCAGTTTCTAAAATTCATAAAAGCCTATATCTATCGCAATTTGAAAGCCAAACTTGGACAGTATTTCTTGGCTGCACCCACTCTGTTCTTTGCTACCTTATCAGCTGGTATTTCGGAGTCGGTTACGACCGACGGGGTAAGCTCCTGTGGAGACTGTTGTTGTACAAACGTGTCAGAGGCCTTAAAAGCTTTGTGCAAAATTGTATTAATCCCTGAATGGGATTTGAAAATTGTATTCCTTTAAATTTAGAATTGCGTCAGGTTTTACGAAAAATACGTTACTTTCTAAAATAAAAAGAGAGGTGTGATTTTCGTCTATAAGGCAGATAAAAAATCCATACTCATAGGATTTCAAACGTAAGTAAATATTAGTATATATATCTGCAAATACTCTGTATGAATTAAAGATTTCCTGGTACATGCCGATAGACTCTGTGAATCCACAGCCAACAAGCAGTCCTTAAGCGAGGTGGCAAACATGACACTGTTTGAAGGATCTTTAAGCACAAGCATCAATTTTTTAATCAATTTAATAACATTTCCCTTTTTATCTTATATTAACTTATTTAATAGGAATCATCTTAGGGATACATATACTGATGCCAGTACCGCTTTAAAGATAATTTCAATATGCGTATATGCTAAAGAAAACTATGCAGATTAATACCTGCTAACGTCAAAGCAAGGAGATCCTATCATAGCAAATTTTGTCTGACAACATGTATGTCGATCTGGTCTCATTAGCATACATCACTATAGCCAATATGAAGTAAATTTTAATTATTTATTAATTCATTATCTTAAATATGGACTTGGCTAAAGGTTGCGCTGAACTGATCGTTTGCAATAAGAGATCGGCGTTCTTCACAGAGGCAATGCAGATCGTCAGAATCGTCAAATGGCGCTTTGTGGTTAATGAGCTCCACGGCATGCCTATGGACGAGGTAATTCGAAGCGGAGGACAAGAGTGCTCTGGCAAGGTGCCTTAGGACTATTGGTGCCTATGAGGATACCTTGACGGAGTTGGATGACGACTTCATTATGGTGGAGGCGAACCTGCAGAGTGTTCTCGACCATTTTGCAAGTCAACTTCCATCACATTCAAGCAGCACCCGATGCCCCCTTACTCTTGAACATGGAATGCCGAAATGGCCCCTGAGACTCAACTTGTCCTGCATGGGTCATGACTAGAATGATCCACCACACCTGCTCCTAAGGGAGATGGCGTCACTGCCGGCGAGGTCAACAACATCCACCTCATCGTAGGATGCGGTGAGGAACTGACACAAATGAAAGTAGTGATCTTTCTTATTTTTCTTATGTCAAGGCGATGCCTCAGACACTATTAATGAAAAAATAACTCGAAGATCCTAATGAGATTCCCGCAAATTCCGATTGGAACTGAACCCCATTTTTGCAATATACTCAAAAACACCTTGCCATGTGTCTATTCCATCCAGGGAGGCATGGCTAAGTGAAATCCCGGGGTCGATTATGGATATATAAATAAAGACAGATGGTTCAAGGGAAGACTGGAAAGTTTGTGGACTGGTCTACGCTGAGCATCTTTTTCTAAATCATTACACCAGGCTGCCTGATCATTGAAGTGTTTTGAAGGAAGAAGTTACTCTGCTGAATGCTTATGAAGTAGGGAAAACACTCTGTAGACAGCCAAGCTGCTATTAGATCGACTCAATATCACCCAACTCGGAAAATGTAAAAGCTGTTGCTTTCTTCTTAATGAAATGACGGAACAGTTTGACATTCACCTTATTTGGGACACTGGTTATAGGGAAATTGAGGGAAACTGCTATGCGGACCTCGCAAGGCATTATCTCTTCTCTACTTCCGGAAAGGCTGCGCATAAAAATTTCAAACCGCATACAAACAAGAAGTGGATTTCAATCACAGCTTGTAATATCTTGCGCATTCGAGCTATCACTGTACACTGACTGGTTGGTCCCCATGCGACCACAGGGGCTGTCCCTCGCGGTGATTATTGCAGAAGTTCTCGGGACGAATAAGAAGAAGAAATTTCTGGGATGTTCTTTCTTCTCAGAAATAATGGATCTCACCGATATCCAACCAAGACAAAAGGGGAAATTTTCGAAATTGGCGGTTGCCGACAATCGCCTTAACCTAACCCACATACCGTAGATAGTCAAGTGTGGAATTTAATGAACGGAGAAGTGTGGTCAATAAGATTATAGGCACCGCTTAAAGCAAGTTATACTGCCAGAAACTTAACAATTTATCCTCTGGTAAAGCCTGGAAGGAAATAAAGTATTTTGGTGCTGGGAAGCTAAGTGTAGAATGTGATAATAATGTGGATGTAAATTATTCCAATGTTCTGTTTACTCACTAGAAGTACCAGAGGTCTAAGGTTAGTCCAGGTTAAATAAGTATAGTGATTAAATCTATCAGTGCGATATCGTCAAACTCGATATCGGTAACAAGCTGTCGCAAATTTCTACACGGGATGGCCAATCTGCATGTTATTAGACTAAACTGGGTGCCTGGGCACCATAATGTGGAAGGCAAATGTAGAGCTGAAGAGCTAGATAGAAACTATTACCCATCCTCTCGGATAAGGGAGGTATATGCGTGCTTCTGGCTACCTATAAGCTTAAAATCAGAGAGTAAAGATTATAGACTCAGATCAAATGACAATTCGCTAAATGTCAACTGTGGTCGCATAGCACGCCAAAGCTGGCTCAATTTAAATAGTAAACGTACGAAAAAACTGTGTAGTTTAAGTAGCATACACAGCTTTGCAGTAATTCGTGTTAAAATTGACGACTGGTTAGAGGGTATTCATGCCAATAGGCTGCAAGTACCCTGTAATGATTTCCGTAGAAGCTGCAGAGACGAAAAGGAAGTAGAGCCTCCGGCACACTTTCTTTGTCGAAATTTATAATTGTAACTGACTGGTTTACCCCCTGATTCCTGCTCACATGACTGCCATAGAAATGTTGTAAGATCCGGGCCAAAAATGGTATAAGTGTGTCAACCTTGGTCGGCAACCGTCAAACCTAGTCTCACCTTACCTATTTTTACTCAGGGTCAAGTCGCTGATATCTCTTACAATAGGTACTAATTGAGATAGTAGTTTTAATTTTATGTGTGTCAGTCAAGTATGAGCAGGTGACGCTCTAACCAGTGTAGGGTAAGGGTATGACCTTCAGGCTGACTTCAGGGTCGCTTTACATGCTGCTGTATTATATAAGAAACATATGTATTTAGGGTTAAGAATTTACAATAAGATAAAGACCTGTTCGTCAGAGCTAAGAATCGTCTCATCGTGTTGACTACACACTATACGAGTGTCAAACATTTTTTGGTCTTTCGAGCCGGATTCAAAGCTCGATTTTAAACGTCGAATCTGAAATTATATTATATTCCTTCTAGAAAAGCAAGGCATGTTCTGTATCTTACAAAAGAACTGTGAAACAAACACACTTAAGTAAATATGACGTCGAAAAAGCAGAAGCAGCTGCTAAAAATAGAGCCGTCTACAACGCAAAAAGAGAATGATAAAAGAAATGTTCAAGTCATGCAAAGCGGAGACAGAAGATATAAAACGCAATTTGAGCAACACGGACGGATTTAAATTTTGGGCATTAATTCCGAAGAAATTGACGATTTCTTCTTCGAAGGTGATGTTTTTTTTTTGGGGAAAATCGATCAAATCTGTCGGGTTTGCAAACCTTACTGAGACAGGAATATCCCACTACACCGCAATTCAATGATAATCTGGAGAGTTTCTGGGAACTGAAAAAAAGTGGAGGCGTTGATTGCGATGCGAGATGTCCAATGCCAACTGGTCAAGGCTGAAAATAATGGAGCAGTTGCGCATCCTGGTAATCACGTAGATCTACGAGCGATTGGTATGCTAGATGACAAATAAATGACCGAGTTGCAAGCTCAGGTACAGAAGTAGCAACAACAGCAACAAAAAGATAGCAGAGTCTGGCACTTTATTCGCCGGGGTGTACTCACATGGGTGGATTGTGGGAATCTGGAGTTGAAGCGATGAAATACTATATTAAGCTGATATCCAAAATCGGCGCAATCGTCAAATTAAAAGGTGAATTTAGACCTATGGACCTATTATGGTCATTCATCATGGACAATTCATTGATTAGTAAAACACAGTCAGACTTCGGGAAATATAGTAGTTACATTGTCTAAATTTTAAAAATATCTGAATAAATTAGAGAGCATTTGGACGATGGTAACACAACCTTACTAGCACTACTTGACTATAGTAAGGTATTTGATGATGTGTTCTAAATAAAATAACATGATGCGCTTTACTAAGTTTGCAGTTTCAATTTTAATGTTTAGGTATCTGAAATAAAGCCCCTATCAAGATAAAGGGCAACATACAATAGTAACTGGTAAAAAGGTAAAAGTGTCTCGTAATATATAAAAAACAAATATATATAAATGTCTAGAGGCTTGAAAATTTAATTAAACAACCTGTTTTCTACTGTGATTTTTAGAGACAATTTGGTTAGTATCTTGATAGACCCATCTTTTGAAAGATCGGCACCGGCCACGCTAAACTCCCGCCGATACTCAGCTCGTTACGCCCGATGTACCTGATGCTGTGAACCATTACAGTTATGTGTCCCACACAATTGGATAGCTAGAGTAACCCTTAAAAAAGGGGGGAAATGTTCGGCCACTCTAACGAGAACGATAATCTTAGGTCGACGTTCATTGAGACGGCTGGACGGACGAACTGAGGGTCATAACTAACCATCTCAAAATGGTTGGAGATGAGCCCTTCTGCCTGTTGTAAACTTTTGTACAACTTCATTACAGCTTTATTAGTTACATTAAGTGTGTTCTTGGTATAAACATATTTGTATATCCTGGTATTCAATTGGTGCTAATATTCTACTTAAAATTAAAAAAAAAATATTCAATATCTAATTACTATAATATATAATCTAAACAATAGTTTAGATCAATCATTTTAAATCTGCTCAGACAGAAAGGAATTCTGTTCACGACCCGCAATCTGAGAAAAATTGATTTAGCTTATTGTTTAAGCGATGCATAGGTTGACCATTCTTTCAATGAACGGAAAATAAGTAGTTCTACCAAATTCTCTCACAATTTAAGGGATAGCCAAAAAATATAATTCATAATCAAAAAATTTAGAAACCAGATTTTTAAAACTTCTTTAAAGACGATGATAGGGAGTATCATTATCATTATCATTCCCAGCAGTTATACAAACGATTTCGCCGAACTCCGGTAGAAAAGTTCTTACATTTTAATACTTACATTTTCTTAATTCAACATTTTTCACTTAATGAATTCAACGCTTAAAAATGACACATTTAAAGTAAGACTTACAATTATTTCGGTCACCTCCAAACAGTTTGTGATAACGTAAGAAATCAGGTCGTCCGCCAAAAAACTTTCCATTCTTATTTAGTACCTCTCTTATTAAATCTAAGTTATTGACTACAAGACAACGCGTTTGGCCAAGAGTCAAGGAGTAAATATCGCCATAGTGTTTAGTTAATGTTCCAAATCCTCTGAATGGATTTTTGAAGCGGCCAAGTATATCTAAGTTTCCGATTATTGGCCAAGGACGTGGCCCTGGTGCCTGAACTAGTTTCCGACTAATTGGCTCAGATTTTGAATCTCCGGTATTAGTTATTGTTTTTCGTTTGCAATCACGAATTATTGAAGTATATGAGGCGATTATAACTGATAAAGCCATTCCGAAAATCAAGTAAATCGTTAAGGTGAACATTTTAATAAAACTTGTGCGTTGTTCTTTTAAACCAATTAAACTTTTTCTATTAATAATCTCAACTAAGTAAAATCGCGTCGCTATTGTGTTTTTATAGCTTTACCAAATAACAAGAAATGCTTGTGCGACTCGATCGAAAATTATTTGCTTTTCAAAGAACCGTCTTTCTTACGTTTTATTTAAGTCGAAGTCGAAGTCAGACAGCGAGCAAGTACATTCATAAATATGTATCTGTATTTGTATGTTGGTGTGTATATATTAACATCCATAGGTATGCGCATATTTGTTTATACAAAGTTCCTGCATGCTTTGATTTAAAAGAGTTTGTACACACCTCACACATGTACATATATATGTCTACATATGTGTAATACCTTCATCTGAAAGTTGCTACTGCCACAAAATTTAAACAAAATTTCTGAGATATTAGGTATTGATACTTATACCAATTTGCATACGTTTGTACATATGTGGCTATGTACACACATTCACTACATGTATACAGTTATAAGTTTATTTAAATAAATATGTATCAGCTTCATGCACATGTATTTGTGTCTTGTGTTAAGTCCATATACGATTAAAGCTTAGACTGGTGCCAAATGTTTCTCCTGGGTGTTCTTTTTGAAATCGATCAAAATGTAAAAAAAAAGAAAAATATTAGAGTTGTTAAAATATTAAAGTGGGAAGTGATTTTTGCTTCATATTTACACGTAGGTCGAATGGTGCTTCAATTTTTATATATCCGATAACTTGTTGAAAAGATTCAAATATTAAAATATTAATGGCATTCAAAAAATTAGACGAAGAGTCAGTCCGAGTGTGTTCACTTGATTTCTTTTAAAATATTACTGATTAGTGGGTTTGCTTTACTTTAATTTTTTTTAGTGACAAAATTCCCTGCTAACTCTTTGTGGCGTCGGCTAGGCCAGATCTCCAGTTTCTTGGGGCACCGAAAGGATCCGGCTAAGTTTACCTTGCTCTGAACCTGTGTTAGTATCACTAATAGACTACATAGACACGTTCTCTAGTAGACGAGGTTTGTGTGTAATGAATGTGTGATTATAATAAAGGGATGGGGCTCTACTCTACCAGATAAAAACGAAGGCAAGCGAAATAATGATACCATGAACAAAAAATCTGATTTTTCAAGTAGTAATTTTTTAGTCGATTTGACAACTCTATGTATTGTCTGCTTAGTGTGACATAGTGCAATACTAGGATAGTATAGATCTTAAGCTTAAAAGGAGTAATTTAGTTAATATCTGAAGTGTAAAATGGTCCATCATTTATTCAAAGGATTGAGGATACCCAGACGACACCTAGTCAGATCAAAAAGGCTAACGATTAGATATTCCAAGTGTACAAGGAAAAAGTCATGACGATTTGGGCTTCGAATCGGGCTAAGGATCGATAGTAATTTGCAAACAGCGAACTAGGGAATGACCACTCTTTATACACATAAATGCTACACTTTAAATTGTTATATGTCATGGAATAAGCCATTAATTTGTACATATATTAAACGTTGTGTATTTTGAATATATCTATATATGGAGTTGTAGAGTCTTCCGCTTGATGCTCCGAATTACAAAGTAATGCTGTATGAGGAAAGGGTTCTGTACAAGATCGGCCATGCTTATGAAAAATTGGACGGGGTTGTAGTATAGATTCAAAGCTACTCCGTCTACAAAGCGTTGATAACGAATCGCATTCGTAATGGGATGTTTTCGCTGCTGGGTGTCGTTCGCAACGATGCAGGAAAATTCTAGTAGCAGTCAAATTTTAGAAGAATAACTTTTATTATTATTGTTGGGATACATATGTATATGCACTGATCTTTTTTATGCCCCCTTCTGAGCCTATAGCTCTTCCATCAACCCCAGTTATTGCACGAATGTAAGAATCTTTGTAGGGTTGAGGGTTTCTATTTCGTTAGAGCTCAGAACATGCATCCCTAAGATACAACATCTTTTCCTAGTTAAGTCAACACAATCTGCTGGGATGTGCTTAAAGGATTCTTCCTCGATTTCACAAAACTGTCAAAGTTCGCTACTATAAATACCCAGTTTAGAAAGATGACTTCTTAGTCTACAATGTCCTGTCAATAGACCGGTGAGTATCCTAAGCCTATTCTTCCCAGTGGTTATTACCTGCTTAAATCGCTTATGATTATAGCCACAAAATAGTTCTGCTTCTCTTAGGGCCTCTCTTCTCCCATTCTCGCTTGTTCATCGGCCGCTTCGTTCCCCGATGAGTTGCTCAAGCTTGGATCGTACCTCACAAACTACTCTTGACGTTATCTTTGAGCCCTTTAGGGCATTTTGCATTGTTGCTTGACTATCAGATAAGATGGCTATATCCGTGTTCCGATAGTTACGTTTCAGAGTGAAATCCGCACATCTCCCTATTGCACACACCTCAGCTTGAAATGTGATGGTGTGCGTCTCCAGGGATTCTTGGTAGGATATCCCAGGACCACCACTGCAAGGACTGTGGCCTGATGGGTAAGTGATCCATCGATGTACCACTTTATGACGCGCGATTTCATGGCGTGGACTTCATCTAAAGTCGTCCATTCCCTTTTACTACTCATATGAACTGAGAAATTCTGCTCGAATATGTATTCAGCTAAAATTTCATCCTTAGATTGCATCAGTAGGGGATGTTCATCCGAAAGAAATTGGGTGTCTTTCTGACTTAGGATGTGATTGCCCCCAACTCCGTCTGCAGATATCATTGTACGCAGGCCTTTCACTGAAACTTTTGCAGCTGTCTTTGCACGGTGATCAGTCACGCCCTATCCCCCATGCTACCACTACCTAGGTCAGCATGGGCCTTAGTACCATTTGGTATAGCCATCTCATTATGATGATGTACTCCATGAGTTTTCGGCTATGCTACCATACGTATAAAGCGCTTCGGAGCACTTTGATATCGTTTTCTGCACATGGGTGCCAAAGTTAAGTTTACTGACAAATGTGACTTTGATGTTCGGGGCCGATGACTTTTACGTCACTCGTTATTTTCAGCCCTAAGAGCACAGAGCGATTCTTCAAATTTGTCTTGTCCTATGATATTGAATACTCCTGCTGCAAGTCTACTGATTAGTTCGTCTACTAACAGGCTCCAGAGTAGTGGGGACAGTATACCCCTTTGGCGACATCCTTTAGTAGATATTTCCTTGACAATAATATCATGCATTGATGCCGTGGTTTATCCAGGACCTTCCTCGAAAAGGTAGCCTTGATCGCATCATATGATATCTTGTCAGAGGCACCGGCTATATCTAAGAAGGTGCACATTACTGCTTCCTTATTATCAACTGACGCAACAAGTAAAGTGCTGTGTCCGTGGAACTGTCTGCTCTATATGCGTGCTACGTTGGATGCAGGGGACTTTGCCTCAGCAAAGGGCTTCTAATTTTGTAGTCCACAAGCTTTTCCAACATTCTCAGTAAAAACGATGTTAAGCTGATGAGTCTAAAGGTCTTTGGGATGTCTCTCTTTTTTTTTTCCCTACCACGAAATTTTTCTCAAAATCATCAATTATGCTGTTGTTAAGATAACTTAGAGTAGTCTTTAGTTCCAGTGGACTTCTGGGTATACCAGATGTTCCACTGGCTTGGTTGATTAGTTGGTCATTCCCAGTTTATTTTTCAGGGATTGCGACTTTGTATACGCTGTGTATTTAATTAGAGTTTAAATAAGATGATTCTGTGTTCAGCCATAAATTTTTCCGGAGAGAAGTGCCAGTCCCTAGGTAATTTCAGTGGCGAAGTGTGCATGTTTTGTGGAAATGAGGAAGAATGTTCAAAGCACATCCTAGCAGATTGCATCGTCTTAACTAGGGAAAAACGTAGTAACTTTGAAGCCAAAACACATGAAAACCCTCAACGCGAGAAAAATTCTTGTATTCGTGCAGGAATTGTTGTTGATAGAAGAGATATAATCTTACAGGTCGCAATGCATGAATCCCCATAATAATAACAATTGCATTGAATACTCATTACCGTGCCTTTTAAATTTAGTGACTCAACCTTTGAAATTGCAGTAGATATAGGGTTTCCCGATTTTTTGAGTGTGGAGTAACCGTGCGAAAATAATATAATTAAATAAAAAGCTATTGTTCTTATTTTGGGCGGGAATTGTATTTTTTTAGCGATCTTTAACTGCAGTTATAAGTACTGTACTTTTGGGGATTCTAGCTTAAAAATAGTGGAATTAAATTTAAATTCTTAAGTTAAGGGTGTGAGTAACTTGTGCTGATCTTGAAGGGACATCGCCAGCACTCTACTACCCAAATTTGTAGACCGTTGCCTTAAAATTGTGGGCAATGTGTGGATTAGAGTTGTTTCCAAAATTAGAAGTGAAATATTTACCAATGATTAATTTTTATATAAAACGAATGATGATAATGTTGAATTAATTTTGATTATGCGATTATTAGAGATACCATTGCTCAAAAGGTTTCGGTGAATATTTTTATATTTACAATATTCTAAATAATATACATTAATAACAGATTATGTTTTCAACACTTACATTTTGTATCAATATATAACTGCTGCCGCAAAGTATTTATAGTTTCGATTTTGCCGATGATATATAAACGACGAATTTAATGTAGTCATCAGTATACTTGTTTTTGCCTTGTTAGTAGGTATGATAACCAAATAAATTACCAGATAACTAAAAATAAATACTTACAGTACCAAGCTGAAAGCCCAACATGCAAATAATAAGTGTCGAGATGGTCGGATTCAGACGATGGATGGGATTAAAGAAATCGTCCAACCATTTATCAAAAAATGCATTCTTATAAGTCGAATTGAATATATAATAAATCAGTTTGGTTATTAAGTTTGACGACGTCATATTGTTACAATGACGATTCAAGTCGATCAAATCATTACTATCGCGTTCTAACACTAATAGCCTCGCATATAAGGAAATCCACTCTCGCCCCTCCTCAGAAGAAGGGGTTTCTGCCACTTGGTA